ACAGGCAATCCTTGGGTTAGGCACCTGGGCATGGGAGGGAAGACCCTGAGGAGAGCATACCCTAATCAGGGATTTTTGCTTTTGGGGGTGGGGTGGTACGGTATGTGTCTGTGTGGCCAAGGTTGGACTTTACTATTGTAATATTCTTTGAGAATGCGATACACATACAGCATGTATTCTGATCATAGTCACCCTCCATTCCCCATTTTCAACTCCTTGTCAGGTTTCCCTTCCAGTTTCATGCCCTCTTCCTCTGTTTTGTTCTAACCTACCAAGTTATTGCCACACATGTGCACATGGGTATGAAGCCATCCCCTGGAGCAAGGTCAGCCTACTGGGACCACATCCCTGAAGAAGACTTTTCCCTGAAGGGCCAAGCAGTAATTCTCTTTCTCTGTTTGTGTGTGTCTGTATGTGTTTGTGTGTCTGTGGATGTGTTCATGTGTGTGTTTGTGGGTGTGTCTGTATGTGTTTGTGTGTGTGTGTATGTGTTTGTGTGCATGTAGAAGACAGAGGTCAACTTCACCATCCCTTTTTAAAATATTTATTTTGCCTGGAGCTGGCCAAGTGGATGAGGAGGCTGACTGGCCAATACTCCTCAGGGATTTGCCTGTCTCTACCTCCCCAACATGGGGAGTACAAGTGTATGCCACTCAACCCTTTGTTGCTTTGTTTTTGGAGACAGGGTCTTACTATGTAGTCTTGGCTGGCTTGGAACTAATAAGTAGACCAGAAGGCTGATCTTTAAATTACAGATTTCCTTCCCTCTGCCTTCCAAGTGCAGAATTAAAGGCATGAGCCACTATACCTAGATTTTTATGTACATTCTAGGAACTGAAATCAAGATCATCCTCACTTAACCTACTATGGCATCTCTTTGACCTGCATGTATTTTTGCATGTACATATGCTTAATTTTTGTGCATACATGTGTGCCTGTGTATGCTTGTGAGTAAACTGTGATTTTGTGACTATATGCCCATCTGTGTGTACACATGCATTTGTAATGTATGCACATTTTTTATGTAGCTGCAGGTGCCATGTGCATATGTGTGTTCGTATGTAGGTTTCTAATTTTCACATGCCTGCATGTTGCACATCTTTCATGCACATGGCAGGACAGCCTCTTCAGGAACTCACTTTTATCCTGGGGCCTGTGGGGAGAGCTGTTTGGATCTCCTCCACAGGAGCTAACATGGCAGCACATTTGACTGCTGCCTAGGCTGTAGCCCCATAGGACCTGACAGCTGTAGGAGTGTTTTGGAGGTAGAGGAAAATAGGTGACTTTAGATCCTGGTGGGGACCACCATGTGGCCTGGGATGCTCCTCATAGGATCAGCAGCAGCAGGCCTGGAGCCAAGGACAAGCTGAATTGAAATGCTATATGTGCTGAAGCCCCACCGGTACCCAGAGGTAGGTTCTGGGAACAGAAGCTGTGAACAACTCATTTAACAGAGAAAGGAGTGGAGGGGTAGAGGACAATGCAGGAGGCAGGGAGGTAAGTAATGAGTCAGAAGAGCTTCAGGTGGGTCAGCCCTGGCTCATCAGCCAGCCCTGTGCAAGGGAAGTGGCAGATATGCCAAGGGAGGGGGCGGATGGCGGCACTGGAGTGGAGCAGCCTTTCTCATGTATTATGTCAGCAGTGCCCCCTACCCGCCCACACCACAGCCTCTCTGCTTTCATCTCTTAGAAGCTGGGCCTGGGAAGAGAGGCTGAGAGGAAGAAAGCCCCAGGCTGGGTCCCATGAATGGCCCCCCAGGAGTCCTGGCACACACTGGACTGTTCTTTGAATCTTGGCTGTTCTGGGCTTAATTAACGAGTAGCTCAGGGGCACCCCTTTCTCCTTATTCAGAGAGAGCCCCAGCACCATGGAAACCTCTCCCAGGCTCCTCAGGCAGGCACAGTCTAATGGGGCTGTCCCTCCAGCTGTAACTGGGTCCAGCTTGAGGGAGCCCATGGGAAGACATGCTAGCCAAAGGTCATTAGTGGTTGCCTGTGCAGACAGGCCAGCCTGTTTCCATCCTTATCATTCGTATTCACAACCTGACAGGGCTGCCAAAAGGAGGAAGGGATTTGATTCTTCCTGTGTTCCCTGAGGACTTGCAGGGATGGTGTATTTAAAATGGGCCAGGTCAGGCGTGGAGTTGAGTCTTGCCAGCCTTTAAGGCATACATGAAGAGCTGGAGAGATGGCTCAGTGGTTAAGAGCACTGACTGCTCTTCCAGAGGACCCGGGTTCAATACCCACCACCCACAAAGCAGTTCACAACTGTCTGTAACTCAAGTTCCAGTGGATCTGGCACCCTCACAAAGACATGCAGCTCAAACACACAGATACACACACACACCATGGCATACATAAACCAGGCCTGGTAGTACAGGCTTATAGTCCTAGCTCCTTGGGAAGTTGAGGCAAGAGGGTCCCACATTCAAGGCATGTCTAGTCTAGGCTATAATGTCAGTCTGGTTGACTTTTTTTTTTTTTTTTTTTTCCATTAAAGAGCTGGGGAGTGACAGTAAGATGCTCAGTGGGTTAAGGCTTCACTGCCAAGCCTGATGATCTGAGTTCAATTCCCTGGTACCCACACAGGAGAACTGTCTCTTGCAAGCTTTCTTCTGATCTCCACAGCATGCTATGGTGTACATGTACACACACACACACACACACACACACACACACACACACACACACACTTTTACCCAAGGTCTGGGAGATGGCTTGGTGCCACACAAGCATGAGGACCTAAGCTTAGATTGTGGGCATCTACTGCATGAGGTGCACACATCTGCTGTAACCCAGCATGGGAAGGCAGAGACAGGCTGATTTTTGGAGTTTGTTAGCCAGCCTAGCTGAATCAATGAGGTCCAGGTCAGTGAAAGACCTTGTCTCAAAGGATCCAGGGGAGCTTGAGGGATGGCTCAGCAATTACAGGTACTTCTCATTCTTTCAGAGGACCCAGGTTCAATTCCCAGTACCCACATGGTGGTTCATAATTGTCTGTAACTCCAGTTCCAGGGGATCTGATGCCTTCTTCTGACCTCCTAGGGGACCACATGCACAGACCTGTATGTGCAAGCAAAACATTCACACACTTAAATCTTAAAAAAAATTACACATTAAAAAAAGGTGGGAATTGAAGATATTGGACATTGACTTCTGGCAAACAGGCACACACCCCTGAACACCCACAAAAACATGAACAAGCACATACATATATACAAACATTTAAACATTCTCATTACAATTTGGAGATGTGTGTGTATGTATGTATGTACACACACACACACACACACACACACACACACACACACACACACACACGTACCATGACAGGCATACAGGCATACAGACATCAGAGGACAACTGTGGAATCTGGCTCTCCTTCCATCATGTGGGTCCTGAAGATTGAACTCAAATTGTCAGACTTGGCACCAAGTGCCTTTATCTACTAAGCCATCTTGCTGGCCCTAAATTACATTTTTTTTTTTAAAGCTGGGTGTGGCGATTCATGCCTTTAATCTCATGCCAGCCAGAGCTACATAGTGAGGCCCTACTTCAAGAGGGAGACAGAGAGAGAATTAAGACCAAAAGGCCAGGGATCCACTCCTGCTCTGAGCCATTTCAATGGTTTCATTTCCCAGCTTCTAGATGCAACTTTTCTCATTTTAACAGGGCCTTGCCCAGCTGTGGTCTGCACTAGAAAGGTTAGTCAGAGTGGGGTTGCTGTATGCAGGCCCTGTGAGCCTGGGGAGGCAGGAGCTTGGAGAGAGGGCCAGTCTGGGTCCACACCGGCTGTTTGCCTAGGCTCTCTGGTCCTCAGAGTGTCTAAACCACTTGGGGGCTTTCCTCTCCAAGGAGGAATTTGCAATTAGTTTGACCGGGATGTAATGGAATTTTTATTTAGATCTCAAAGGTTAGGGTGCTTTCCCGGGAAGGTATTTATAGCTTGAAAGGAATCTACTCTGCTGTTATCTTGTTCTTTTTCTAATGATTGGTCTCTTCACTAAGAAGGTTCTGGGTCTGGGAGATTGAAGGCACGGTTCTTCTCTTCGGGAGACAAAAATAGACATTTTATCAGACAATGCAGCCAGCATCCCCCAAGTCAGGGTCACTCAGCCACAGACCTTCCATGGTGTTGAAGTGAATGGACAAAAAGCTCCCAATGTGCTATGGAACTTTACAAAACACCAGGCATGGGGCCTGGGCAATCTCTGCTCAGCCATCACCTCCTTGGTGTGAATGGCAGGCACCCTCACCTTTCAGCTTTCCACACAGATCAACTGCAGCAGGACAGGGTCATGTTCTAACTTTTCATGTTACAGGGCTCATGAAGAAAGCATAGGTTCTTCCAAAGTTGGATGACCTACCAGCTTACAGCTGCTTCTTAAGCTCAAGGTGATATGGAGGTGTTGCCATGGAAACAAGGGCACAGTGACATCACTTACCCATCTCAAGTGCACATACCTGGGCTTTCTTGGTTCCTGAGTGCTGGTCTGAGGTCCTCCCCCAGGGATGGGTTTTGCTGCTTCCTACTGCCCCACTGCAACAACCACCTGGGTCCTGGACCAATCACACTCAGCAGGGTTGGCCCAGCCCACAGCCTCTGGCTGTTCATCCTACCACAGCCCTTGGCTATTGGCCTACAGCTCACCTTACCCAGTTTCTGTAGATTTGGCTTTGCCAAATGCCCTAGCTGGCCGTACAGGTGTTGGGGAAATTGTGCCTCTGAAACCAAGCCAAGCACAAGGGGTCTGTCTTTAAAGATCAGGTAAAGTTCAAAGCTGTACTGACTGGCCGGATTCCCAGTCCCTACACTGGCTCCTGGAGAAGCCAGCAGGAACTCTGTGTACTGCCCCTAGGTCCCAGATGGGTTACCCCCCCCCACCCAGGTGCACTCTGCTTCAGATCATCCAGGGGCAGTCTGCTGTAGCAATGGGGCCAGGTGGGGAGCACAGGACACCATACTGCAGCAGCCAAAGACAGAGGCTTGAGGCACTGTCATTTACTGAGGTAGCTTCAAGACAGGTTAACCTTTAATAGATTAGCGGCCGCACCAAAGCTCAGCGGGTGTATAAGCTCTCCTGTTTTCAGGGGTTTGTTCTCAGAAAACTCAAGTGCAGGGACTGATCTTGACCTCACTGCCCGCTGGCCAGGCTGGGTGCACAGGTCAGCCTTAGACGTACAAGCCCTGCCCCTTTTCCTGAGGTGGGGGCAGCCAAAGTGAAGACACCCACCCTGCATCCCCCATCAACCTAGAACTCCTGATTGTTCACTCTCAGAACACGCAATACTCTCAGAACAAATGGCTGCTGTTAAATAAGGGGGGACAGAGTAGCCATATGAGGACTCCTGGCACTCGAGTCTGTAGCCACCTTCTTGTGCCTTAGTGGGTGGGTCTGAAGCTTCAAGTGGTGCATCAATCACAGGGGACACACCCAAGTTGTGGTAGGGAGGCAGATACATCTACAGAGGGCTCCACTCGGCTGCCATTTGGTAAAATTGCCATCAGTTCAAGGGGAAGAAAACTAACTTGGCAGATAGCCCACAGGCCAAGTGCATAAAAAACTGAGCAGGCCAGAGTCATGGCTGAGTTGTCTTTTGCCCCCTGGTGGAGAAAAGGGCTTGGCAGCTGTGCCTGGTCCCATCACAGTATTAGGGGCACTTACCCCTCGCTGGGGCAGGTGGACAAAGTTGGGTTCCCCTTCCTGGCCTCTGGCTGCCAAGCCAAATCTAGCTCCCATCCTGAGGTTCCCATGCCCAGCCTGCTGTGTGCAGTATCAGGCTGGTGTTTTGTGGATGGCCAAGATTAAATGGTCCCTAAGAGCAAACCTCTTGGTGTCCCTATGGATCAAGTCCAAGCAGGAACCTTCTAGCATTAGGTTTTTCCTAAGATAAAAGCAGCCACATGGGGCCAGGAAGTCCTATCCCCAGTGATCTATGGACACATCTCAAGCTACTGGCTGCTGAGTGGGCCAGGTGGCACTGGTGGCCTGCAGATGCCTCTGCACACCCAGGTGACAGGGCTGTCCCTAGGTCTACACTGGAGTTTGCTCTTCTCTGGGACTTCTCTCCTCTGGGATGCTGGGCTGCCTCCTGGCCCTGCTCCCTGCCTTGTGTCTGGGTGACCTGTGGATCTACCCTCTTGGTGCCTCTCGGGAGCTGCTGTACCACCCCATGTGTCACCGTCTGGTGCTCTTCCAAGAGTTCATTCTCCCAGGGCGGGGATGGAGGTGATGGGGATAACAGAAAGGGAAACAAGGAGCCCATGGGACAGGGGCTTGGTTGGGGACCCTGAAGTCCATAGCTTTCATATGACTGCATTCTGCTGTGGGGACAGGAGACTTAGTTGTGTGACCTGTAAGGCACTGGGCAGCACCGGATGAGGAAGGTTGTATCTCAATGGCAGCTGACAGTGCCAAGGTCAAGGGCAGGTGGTAGACTCTGCAAGAGTTCCCATCTTTGCAGGACTCCCTGCTGCCCTGACTTGGAGTGCACATATCTGTGGGCACTGGAAACACATGGGCTACAACGAGAAATGGAAGCGGGAGGTGGTCACCCGCCCTTCCCAGAGAGCAAGGTAGAGCCACCAGGATCCCTCAAAGGCACAGGCACAGAATATAAGAAAACCGATGGCTGAGGTGTTCCCGTGGCATGGCTCTTGCCCTAGCAAGATAGGTCATCTTCTCAAATTCAGTTAGCAAGTCCTCTAATCTGTCCCCACAGCCACCTCACCTGGAGGCAATGACTGGGGTCCTAGAATGGGGAGGGGCTTTTCTTCCTGGGCAGAAACGGCGAAAAGATAATGTCATCCGAGTCATCAGAGCAGATATCCTCCACAGGGGGTGGTGACATGGGCTGCAGTCCTGGGGAAGAGGACGCCACTGGAATGAATCAGAGAGAGAGAGAGAGAGAGAGAGAGGGAGGGAGGGGTCAACCACGTGGAGTAGACAGCTGTGAGCTGTACACATGGCCATCAGCTTTTCCTGGTAAAAAGGGAAAGCCCCACCCACACAGCCGAGGGCCCACCTTCAGAGTCCACCTGCACACTCTACAGAGCCTCTCATTAACGCCTACTCTCGTGCTAGTTTGGCAGCTGCTGCCGACACTAAAACACATGCAGGCCTGGGATGGTGGTGCACACCTGTAATCCCAGCACTTGGGAAGCTGAGGGAGGAGGCTAGGCTGGATTATATAGTGAGTTTGGGGTCAGCCTGGACTACACAGCAAGAGTGGCTCAGAAAACAAAACACGCAAAGGGAAGCAGAACCAATTAGCTACCGTGTATAAAAGGGTCCTGGCTAAAGTGGCCCCCTGAACTTCCTGCCCTGTCTGGTAAGGAGCTGGGATGGGACAGAGGGGACAGAGGGGACATACCCAGGGATGGCTGAGCACTTGTGGTACTGCTGCTCCTTTCGTCACACACATCCAAGCATAGCACATCCTTCACACTGGACTGAGGCACAGCCTCTAGACCAGAAGGGGGTGGACAGTCCCAGTGGCCACCCTGTGGGGAGTTGGGGGCCGAGGGTTGAGAGGGTGCAGGTTCAACTGCAGCGGTGTCTCTCGGCTCCTCCTTGGGACAGAGCCCCACTCTTATTACTCCTAAAGATGAGGGGGGAAATGAGAGGTTACTGATTTTCAATTTAAAAAGAAGATTCTGACCCCACCATGAAACCTGGTATGGCCATCTGCCTCCTCCTTTACAGTTCCCCCACGGTTCAGATAAACCACAACCTCAGGACACGTAATGCCTGTCCCCAACCTTGTTTTCCTTAATGGCATCTCATCTCTGTGTGTGCAGACACCGTGTACCATGGTGCAGAAGTGAGGGCCCTCGGCTCCCACCTGTCTGAGACAGGGCCTTTCTGTGGTTTGATGCTGTATTGCCCCCCTTCCCTGCCCCATCTCCTCACTCGCGTTCTGGGGCTGAGGTGCATATGACTGTGCCTGGCTTCAAACAGGTGCTGGGGATCTGAACTCAGTTCCCCGTGTTTGCGCAAAGTGCTCCACCCACTGACACACTTCCCTGGATCTTTTTTTCTCCCTAGTTGTTCTTCTGTTTCTTAACCTATAATCCTCCTGCCTCAGCCTCTAGATTCCAGGGATTTTAGCCTATGGCAACTAGGTTTAATTTTGTTTTCCTTTTCTTCTTCCTTCTTCTCTCCCATCTCTTCTTAAAAAAAGTTATTTTATGTGAATAGTGATTTTTGCCTGCATGTACATCTGTGCACCAAAATGTGTGCAGAACCTATAGAAGCCAGCAGGGGGTTTGGATTCCCTGGAACTGGAGTTACAGACAGTTGTGGGCTACCATGTGGATGCTAAGAACTGAACCCAGGCCTCAGCCAGATCAGCCAGCGCTCTTAACCAATGAGCCATCTTTCCAAGCCCCTTCCTTCCTTTATGAGACAGCCTCACGGAACCCAGGCTAGCCTCGCAGTCACTATGTGTCTGGGGCTCGTCTGAACGTTCATCCTCCTGCCTATGCTGGGACTGAAGGGCCCCCCTCCATTCAGTTTTCTTTAAAAGCACAGTCAAGGCCTGGGTGTGGCTGTGATGTCTGTAATCCCAGCACATGGGAGGCAGACCCAAGAAGACTATCCGGTAAAGGCCACTCTGGGCTATGGAGTGAGAGCCTGTCTCCATACCCAACCAACCGATGAACACTCCGTCCAACACATCAGCTCAAACAAAGCTGTCGTTCACTTTTCTCCCATGGACATATATCCTGGGGGTCAGCACCTGTTGAGCAGTGGATGCTTCTGGCCAGTCCACACAGGTGGACAAATATGCCACTTTAAAATTTCATTTGACAAGAAGACGAAAGGGCAGCATAAACAATCTTTTCAGCCCTGACCAAATAATTTAAAGGTCAGCAGACCTGGTGAGATCGGCACAGACAGGTTTTTGGAGAACAGTCTAAAGCCTCTGGGGGGCCTGGGGATTACAGGCTGGCAGTGGCTTTGGGGTTCCGGTTCTGTCTGTGTGCCTGCCTCCTCTGAAATCCCAGGGCTTCTGTCTTGGCTCACTGTGCTTTGAAGCAAAGGTTTGGAGCGAACAGCAAAGCTCACAGTTCTGTAGCTCTGACACAGCTTGGAAAGTCGACAGCTGAAGTGGATGTAAGACCTTCAAATGTGACAACACGTTAAACATGATGTGTGTATGGTTCTTTAAACAGGCTTGTTATGGGGCCCCTGGGAACTAAAGGAAAGTGACTTGATACAGTCAGAACCAGCTAAGGGTTGGGAATATGGTTCAGATGTACAGTACATGTCTACTGCCCAATCAACTCCACCCCATGAAGGGCTGAGAATGTGTAATTGGTAGAGTACCCTTTACTGCATGACTGGGGTGTGGTTCAGTGGTAGAGCACCTGCCTAGAATCCCCCAGTGAGGGGCTGGGGTGTGGCTCAGTGGTAGAGCACCCGCCTAGAATCCCCCAGTGAGGGGCTGGGGTGTGATTCAGCAGATCACTTCTCTAGCATGTGTAAAGCCCTGGGTTCCATCTCAAGCACCTCAAGGAAAACAAAAACAGTAGGGAGAGTTGCTAGAGAAGGCCAGCCAGCCCTGGTCTCTGGGTGAGGTTGGAGAGAGAGTCACGAATCACGGCCTTGTCTTCACTGTGTGCCTCTTCTGCTGTCAGAGTTGGGTGTTTGCTGGGGAATGTGCTACCCTGGCCACCACTGCCATACTTTTACCTGAGCAGAGCTGTAGGGCTGCTGGCTCCTCTGCCTCATCTTCGGGCTTGGCAGCCTCCCCACAGCTCTCCTCGATGACCTTTCCTGAGGGATCCCACTCTGTGTAAGGCATGTTAGCCCTGGGCAGGACCAGCCAATCCACCTGCTGTCCCAGCAGCCACCAACCCTCCTGTCCCTGGCACGTCTCTACTCTTGTCAGCCTTAGTTCTACCTCTGACACTCAGCGGCTCAGGTGTCTCTGGGAAGCACCAGGTGACTCAGCTCCCTGGGGTGTCACACGCATCACAGAACCTCAGCTCAACTTCTGTATCAAACATGAGCCAAGTCCCTGGCAGTCTCCTTACTCATCCTCATCAATGCCAGTTACAGTGAGCCACGGCTGTAGCTAAGGCAGGGGTTGCAGGAACAGCCACAGAACAGTAGAACCCATGGGCTCTACTGTTGGGCCGTCTAGCCCAGCTCTCCACTCATGAGGAGAGATGCCCTACAGTCAGGGGCCTACAGGGACATGTCTGTGTGGGCCAGAAGTCACAGATGGGGACAGAGTCTGCCTGTGTCCTGGACTTGATGTTTATGTGTGTGTGTGTGTGGGGGGGTGTATGTGTGTATGTGTTTGTGTGTAGGTAGATGCCAGAGTTTAATCTTAGGTATCATTTCTCAGGTGCTATTAATTTTGCCTTTTATTTTTTGAGGCAGGGTCTCTCACTGGTCAGAACTTAATAATCTGGCTAAGCTGACTGGCCAGTGACCTTCCTGTCTCTATCTCTCCAGCACTGACATAACAAACATGCATCACCATGCCCAGGGGATTTTCAATGTGGGGCCTGGGAATTGAACAGAGTTCCTTTACCAACTGAGCGATTCCTCTGAGCCAGCCTGGGACTTCTTTACCCAATGCTTGCTGTTTTGTTTTCTTCTCCTCCTCTCTCTCCTCTCTCTCCTCTCTCTCTCTCTCTCTCTCTCTCTCTCTCTCTCTCTCCCTCTCTCCCTCCCTCCCCTCCTAATTATTTTAGAGACAGGGTTTCTCTGTGTACCCCTGGCTGTCCAGGAAGGCACTCTGTAGACCCCGCCGACCCCAAACTTATAGAGATCTCCCTGCTTCTGCCTCCCTGAGTGCTTGGACTAAGGGTGTGTGCTACCACTGCCCAGTTTGTTGTTGGTGTTTTCAATGGAACCAGGGCCTCACACACGCTGGAAGTACTCTACCACCATGCTACATCCTCAACCAGCTTTGGGCAGAAAATCAAATGTAAGCAGTGTTATCCTAAACCAGCAATCAGGAGAAAACCCGGCCCAGGGAGCCCTGAAGGCTGAAGAAACAAAAGCCAGGAAAGCTTTGACTGCACGGTTTGGGGTAACCTGAGGACGCAGGGCCCATGCCACTGCCATTGCTGATGCAGTCTACGGGCCCGAACCCCAGCAGCAGCTCAGGAGAGAGTCTCTGATCTTCAGGCATAGGCAGGGGCTTAGGCTGAGGCCCGACAGTGGGGACAAGCCCCTTGCATTCTCACCCAGCCTTCTTTTGGCTTAACCCTTGCAGAGTCACCTCCCCCTTGTGGCAGAACCAACTGAATGAAATTACCTGGAGAAGGTGCGAGGGTGGGTGAGGGTGGGGAGGTGGATCCTGAGGGTGAGGCTGAGACAGGGCCCTTCTGAGACGAGGCTGCAATCCCTCTGCAGCAGTTGGCACTGGAAGACAGAAAATTCTGGCTGAGCCAGGGCTGGAGAACACAGACCTGGCCTGCCTGCCATTGCACTCTGATCCATGGGGCCACAGCTACTTCCGCAGATAAACACTGAGCAAGTGTGTCTAGGGCCTTGACAATGGTGGTCCAGAGAGCCTATGACCTTGGTTGGTTCATGTCTTCAAGGCCATGCTTCTTGGAACTCGATCTGTACAACAGGCTGGCCTCGAACTCACAGAGGTCATCTTGCCTCAGCCTCCAGTGCTGGCATTACAGGTGTGTACCACTGTGTTCAGCTACATTTTTCTTTAAAAGGAGACAGTAGGTGAGCCCAAGCCCACAGTGCCCACACACTACAGGCCCTGTTCCACACACCTCCTCGCTTCCCCATCATGGAGGCATGTTCTAGGAAGGTTTTCTCCAGAGGGCAAGAGCCTACAGTCTACCCTTTACCCAAAGTGAAGCTTAGATATCCCTAAAGGCCTTCACTTGTTATGGTGAACTGCCAGACCATGGCTCACACAGCAAGTGTCATAACAACACATCATTACAAATCCCTCTGGAGACCTGGCTAGTCCCAAAATGGGGGCCCCTCCCACTGTGGCCGTACTCACATGAACCTGGCCTGGGCCAGGTATCCCCGGAGGATGGACTGGATGACAGTGATGGCCTCCTCTTGTACTGGGCTGTCTTCAGGCGGGGAGATGGGGCTCGGGACACTGGGTGTGGGAGACCTCGGCAGCTAATGACAACAGGAGAGAGACCTGTCTGGGGCCACCCTGCTGTTTCCAAATGCAGCATGCAAGTATCTGGGGCAGGAAGGGTGGGGCTTTCCAGCTACACCCCAAAAGTGCTCCTCATCAGCCACTGCAGTCACTGAGGCCTGCTCCTTCTACACTTCAAGGCTAAACCGGCCCGGGATGTGTCAAAGGGGCCACTGCTGGGCTGTCCCTGGCGTGGGACACCAGGAAGACTAGAAGGCTGCAGAGGGCTTGAGATTCCTTTGCTAAAGAAGTATAAGGGGCCGAAGAGGGGTCGAGCAGCTGGTGTCCGCCCAGCCAGACAGTTACCTGGTTGGGAAGGCTGGGAGAACCCGGCAGGCTGGGAGGCCTGGAGGCTGGAGCTTTGCTTCGTAACAGCTTCGAGCGAGCTAGGTGTCCTCTGAAGGCTGCCTGGAGCACAGTTGCTGCCTGGCAGGAAAGAGGGAAGGACACAGTTTCTAGAAGATGGTACTGGGTAGAGATTAAAGGGGACTGGAGAAAACTCCCCTTCCTGCTGTGTAACCTCAGGGGCATGTCACAGTGCCTCCCCTCTGCCTCCTCCTAACCCCACATGCTGGCACACGCACATGTGCCCGTCCCAAGCGAGAGGAAGGAGCGTGCTGACTGCCACAGCAGACCAATCCTCAATACAGTCGAAACTGCTGCTAAGTCAGTTACACCAGCTGCTAATATTAGTTCAGACTTCACACATTGTTTTGCCTTTCTGAGTCAGGGTCTTGCTACGTAGCTGTGGAAGACCTCTTACATGTGCTGAATTCCCTGCTTTGCCTCCTAAGTGCTAAGATTACAGGTGTACACCATAATGCCTGCCCTTCAGATTTCACACAATGGTAAGTCTTCACAGTGGGGCTGGTCTGTTTCATCTACTTTCTTTCACGCTCATCCTCCAGTCCCAAAAGCTACAGAGAACTCTTTTTGTTTTTAAGTGCTGACGGCTGAACCCAGGGCCTTTTGCATGTTGGGTAAATACTCTACCACTGAGCCACACTCCCAGCCCCCTCACTGGGGGATTCTAGGGAGGTGCTCTACCACTGAACCACAACCCCGGAATCTCACTGGGGGATTCTAGGCAGATGATCTCTACTGGGGCAGGGGGTGTGGCTCAGTGTTACAGCATGCAGGAAGCCCCCAATAACAAATATCAGTCTCTTATTCCAATCTCACAGCCACCAGAACCTACTTCTTCTTCTTGTTAGCTCTCCTGTTGGGACAACCCTACTGTCCTTTCCATGTATTCCCCCCCCCCCCGCCGGAGGGGGGGCACTTGGACTGCAGGATGGCAGCTTTAGTCCTCAAAACACCTTTGTTCTCCCTGCTTTACAGCATGTGTGTTCTGGCATCTCTGGCTGAGCACATGGGATTGCTCAACTCCAAACTGAAAATGGGAGTGGAGGAACATGTATGTAAGTGAATTTTTAAAATGCGAAGTTATTCAGGTGTTCATTTTACTCATGTATTTTAAACTCTGTCTGAATTTGAATTCATTTCCCAAAAATCAGGACTTAAGGAAATGCCGTTAAGTACCCCTTGGCTGGGCTAGAGAGATGGCTCAGCGGTTAAGAACACTGGCTGCTCTTCCAGAGGTCCTGAGTTCAATTCCCAGCAACCACATGGTGGCTCACAACCATCTGTAGTGAGATCTGGTGCCCTCTTCTGGCGTGCAGGTGTTGTATACACAATAAATCAATAAATTGTAGTGAGAGATTCACTCTGTCCATACCTGTTGCACTGACCATGCCCACTGTGGGTGGGGACAGGTGCAGATGTGACCTGGGGGAACTAGGTCAGGGGTAGGGGACCTGGGAGCTCTCTCTTGCTTATGGGAAGGAGACAGAGGGCATCCAGAGGCATCTGTGGGACTGGAACCTACTAGTGATCATCTGTCTCTGATGTAAGTTATTTCTCCTAAATAAACATCTATTCAGCCTGTTTTCCCCGATCCTTATTTTTCCACCATAATAAATCTTAAAAAAAAAAAAGTAAAAATAAAAAAGAGAGCACTTTCTGTGCAAGCATAAAGACCTGAATTTAAATTTTCTACACCTCCATAAAGTCAGGGTGGTCACATGTGTCTGTCAACCAGCACACGAGGGGTAGATGCAGCCTTAGCCAGTCTAGGTTCAGTGGTGAACTCTGTCTCAAGGGAATAAGGAATAAGCAGCTCCCGCCTTCCTCTGACCTGCACGCATAATGGCATCCCTTACACAAGTGCATATGGCACCTCCCCACATCCCCGCAGCCACCATGCCCTCTCCCCTACTACTCCTAGGTTATTTTATACCACAGTAAAAAGAGGAGTTTGGAAACTTGTAAAATTGGCCCAGCTTACCTCATCCAAAGCTGCTTTTCTTTTCTAAAATAAGGAAATCGAGAAATGAATTAATATGAGCAGAGTGAAGTCTTAACAGAGGTTTCCATTCCTTAAAAGAATATTCTCCTTGGTATATGTGAAGGTTAACCTTCATTATCAACTGACTGGATTTAGAATCACCATGGAGACACACCTTTGGGTGTGTCCGTTAGAGGCTTTCTAGACTGAGTTAACTGGGTGGGAAAACCCACCCATGTCATGGGCTGAGGCCCTGAACTTTGTGGAAAGGAGAATGGGGCTGAGCATGGAGTCAGTTATGTCTCTGCTGCCTGACTGTGGACACGATGTGACCGGCTGCCTCACACTCCTGGTGCCATGACATGACCAACACAAACTGTGAGCCCAAATCTACCCTTCTGTCTTTGAAGTTGCTTCTGATTGATAGTTTTGATACAGCAACAAGAAAAGCATCTCACTATGCAGTGATGGGCTCTGTGATGTTTTTGTTTATCATGCAATTTGATGTTCACTCTCATCTCAGCCCCTCCTGCATCCACCCTAGTTTCTACTACTCCATCTGCAACAGCCAACGAGGGACAAAGAGGGCATAGTAGGCAAGTGGCTTCGAAGACACTAGTGGCATAGGTGGCTTGGGAACCTTCTTTGGCCAGAAATCAATGACATGTTCGGTAAGACAACAGCCACGAAGGCCAGACCAAAGGGGCTCCATGTCCATATTTGGACAATATGAAAATAATGACTGCAATTAACTTTAAAAATGCTTCAATAAATAAAAGAATCTGAGCTCATACTAACTCTCTTCCCATGAGGGATAGAGGGAGGCAGGGAGGGGCTCCTGTGTTCTATGAGAAGGGGATCATCCAACAGTTCTTGCTCTGAAACTGGTACCACCTAGAAAAGGGAGCTTGCCCTGTCTCCTCAGGAGCACCTGGGTCCATGCCCAATGCTGAGTAATTGGTACTTATGCCAGGGAAACTGACAAAGTCTTGTGGCCATCCAAGATGGCTGAAGCTAGGTCACTGGGCTGGTAGTTTTGTTTTTAAGAGATGGTGTCATGGGGCTTGGGCTGACCTTGAACCCCTGATCCTCTTTGGTAGTAGGACCGCAGGAGTGCACCACCTCTCCTTTCAAGGGGCCAGCGCTTACAGCCCTGCCCTCTGTGAGCCATCCCATTCTAAGCACCAGTGGATGACTGGGGGTGGGGGTAGGTGAATGTGCTGAGTGGACGTGCGAAACACACTGGGTAATGGAGCACACAAATGCCAGATGTTCTCTGCAGCTGGACTTGGACCGGGAAGCTCACCTTGTGTCTGTGGGCCTTCCACCGGGCCTGCAGGGTTCTTATGGCAGCCTCCCTCCTCTCTTCAGAGCATGGGGTGGGTGGCTGGGAGCCAGCCCCGTCACTAGCACTGTTGTGGGAGTCCGGATCGTTGTCAGAGTCCGGCTTGGAGTGACCGCTGCAGGGTGATGGTGCGTGGAGCTCTGGGTAGGCCTGCAGGAAATGAAAGGGGGTCAGTGGCGTTAGTGATGTCAGCAGCGGGCAGCAGACAGGATATTAACCAGGATATGACAGGCCTTGCTCATCAGACAGTAGACTTAATAAAGCAAAGTCTGAGCCCGGAGCAGCGGCAGTCTTTTTTGGGCTCTTTTTAAAGATTGATGTGGTATGATAAAAGTAGGATTTGGGAGATTGAAGTAGAGATGTTTCCAGTGTAGGTTTTGGCAGGAAGAGGAACTGAACCATTGAAATGCCACTGGCTTCTAGGTAGTGCTCTTGAAATCTACCCACCAGGGCTCTTCTCAATAAAATTCACATTACTGGAATATTCTTTCCTCACGTCAAAAGGCAGGTGCAAGGCTGGGGAGACAAGAGTGTTTGCTGCACAGGCATGAGGCCTGTTTCTTGGCATCCATGTAAAAAGCCGGGAGTGGCGACGTGTGCTTGTAATCTCAACTCTGGAGAGGCAGAGACAGGCAGATCTCTGGAGCCGGCCGGTTGGCCAGCCCCGCCTCCTCCTCTATGTGTACTTCACTGGTGCCCACGTTAACGACAGGTTCAACGAGGGAGCATGCTACCACAAACAGCCATGTGAGAGATATGCATATCCAGTAGGTGGCTGCACTGAGACCAAGATTTTTATTTGTTCTACTTAAAGGTATTTTGACATGTGTGGCCATGCTGGCCCTAGACAGATGGGACAGACCCCAGGACAAGCAGGGTGTCCCTGGGAGGGAGGCTGTATAGGCAATTCACAGGCCCAGCCACACCCTACCCACCTCCTCTATGTAATCTTTGTGCTGCAAGATAGTAGTGTCTTTTCTTCTTAGTCACTGAGGACCAGGGACTCAGCAACTAGGATCCCCTGTGGCTCAGTGGTCACCACAACTGTTCAAACCAGATGACTTCACGCTCAGTCATGTGCTCTTCGTGTCCTGTCCTGCTCACAGTGTAGGCCCTGGCTCTCCCTGTGACAGCTTCCTGCCCAAACCCATCTTTTTTCAGTTTGTTTATTTATTGTATTTGTAGGTTTGTGCGTGTGTTTGTGCATGGAGGCTGGAAGAGACTGTCAGATGTCCTGCTCTATTACTCTGCTTTATTCTCTCAAGAAAAAAACATCCCTCACTGAATCTGAATCTCAGCTGGTAGCCAGCAAGTCCGGGCTACCCTCCTCTCTCTGTTCCCAACGCGTCTTCATGCATGTGGAGCGAAAGTGCTGTTGCCTGCTAAGGCACCTCCCAAGCCCCCGAGGCTGGCCTGGCACTCTGCATCCTACTGCCTCTGCCTCGGGAGTGTTGGCGTCATAGGCTGCACCACCACGTACCACCCGTGAAGGGCTGTTTATTATGCATTCACATATCAGGCCCCCCTGGAGCAAAGAGTAGCACAGAAGTTTAGCTCCAAGGTACTAGTTTCCACCTGTGCATGTGTAGGGGTGACACATGGGACAGATTAGAAATGGGGTACATTCTAGTTCTTGGAAATGAAGGTGTCAAAAGCCTGGAGAACAGAGACCAGAGGGCCTCTTGCTGATCTTTGGAGTTGGAGAATACCCAGGTAACCTTCACAATGACAAAGCCTCCCCAACTGATAGCAAATCCTGAGACTTCCATAAAAAAAAAAAAAAAAAAAAAAAAAAAAAGGAAGAGACCTGATGTCACAGGCCTGTAATCCCAGCATTCAAGAAGCCAAGGCAGGAAGATTGTAAATTCAAGGCCAGCCTAGGTAACTTGGTGAGTCCCTGTCTCAAAATAAAACATAATAAGGCTAAGAATATAGTCTGGTGGTAGAGCACCTGCCTAGAATCCCCCAGTGAGGGGCTGGGGTGTGGCTAAGTGGTAGCGCACCTGCTGCATAATATTTGTTTAACTATGCAAAGTTGTGTTGCATTTATATTACAGAATAACTGTTTAACTATGTAAAAATGTGTTGGATTTATTTAATTATGTAAAAATGTGTTGCTGTTTTACCTGATCTGCCTAAGGTACCTGATGGGATGATAAAAAGCTAGATGAACAATAGTGAGGGAGGAGGTAAAGGTGGGACTTCCAGATAGGTGGAGTAAGTAGGAGGAAGAATTTGGGGTGGGGAAACAAAGAAAAAGAAACTGTATGACACCAGGGGCCAGACAGACAGACATAGAGGAGGCAGGAAAGTAGGACATACAGAATGAAAGATAAAAAAGCTCCAAGGCAAAATGTAAATGAATAGAAAGTTAAATTAAGTTAAAAGAGCTAGTGGGACAAAGCCTAAGCCAAGGCTGAGCATTCATAATTAATAAGTGTCTGTTATGATTTGGGGGCTGGCAGTTCAAGAAAGTCTGCTACATTTGTTGCCTAACATGGGGCCTAAATTTCCATATAGGGCTTGGGCTTGAGAAAGCAAAAAAAAAAAAAAAAAAAAACCACACACACAAACCCCCTTGACACCGCTTCCTAGAAGCCTGGTGTTCTCAGCACGCAGAGGCAGAGGTACAGCTCTGCCATACAGCAAACACTTGGGCAGCTGGCTGTTAATTAGAAACAACAAGCTAAGTAAAAAGGTCTGCCACAGTGTGGCCACCAACTTCCTATAGCTGTGGCAGTTAAATGCAGTCCTGGTTAAACACAACTCTCAGCCAGGCCCACAGGGCTTCAGCTGTCATGGACCTGAGCAGGGAAGATCCAATCATCAGTGCAAACCCACATGAGAATGCAAACCCACATGAGGTGCACAATAAACTAGGTCCAGATGGAAATAAAACTCTAGACAGGTTACAGTGCACTTAAAAATATGTGGATATGTTAAGAAAGAACAGAAAACGAGTTCAGTCATAGGAAATCTTGGCTACAGACATAAAGAAATAAACCAAGAAAAACTACAAGACAGGTGACATGTATGTATGTATGTATGTATGTATGTATGTATGTATGTTCTCAGGGTCCCCCAGGGATGCCATCACCCCCCCAGACAACAGGAAGCAGCCGACTGAACACAACACCCACATATCCAAGAGGTAGTGTGGGTGGGTTTTGGTCATTTGGTGGATTCTGGATGTTTGTCATCATTTGGGGGATACAGGAATATAGGATAAAAAGACAACTATTAACCTCAAATATTTTACATTGGTATGGATTTTGGTATATTGATACAAATTTAGTTATTTTTTTGTTATTCTGTATGTATACCCTTGTTTGGGGTATCCTGCTTATATAGCTTACTTAAAAATGTAATATATACTTAAGAAATGCAGGCTAGAAGTTAGACATCTATAACAATCAAACTTCTTTTTAAATATTTATTTATTATATATATAGTATTCTGCCTGCATGTATGCCTGCATGCCATAAGAGCACCAGATCTCATTTTAGATGGTTGTGGGCCACTATGTGGTTGCTAAGGTCCTCTGGAAGAGCAGCCAGTGATGTAGCCCAACAATCAAACTTGTATTCATGTCATGTTAGGTATGTTTTCAAGGCTAAACAGGTATATTTTAGATACAGATAGTCTTTAAATGCTTCAGAGACCTACATGATATGGCATTAAGATGTTTAATAACCCAAGGTTTTTCATGACAGTGAGACCCATCTGCTCCTGGCAGCACCAATCTACTTCATAAAAGGATGTTGGGCATTAAGGAACCTCCATATGGAGCTCACTTTCACTGTGGCAAGGCTGGCCATTGGGGCAAGAAACTGCCCTTGCCTCAACTGCTGACTGTATACTGTACAAACTGAACAAGCAGGACACATAGGAAAGACTGTCAATCTTTGCCAAGACAAGGGAGGACGGTCCTTTGAAATTTCTGTTTCACAGAAAGGTCTGTCAGATATTCTAGGTCTGTAGGCCCAAGATGGATGCCCCAACATTGCAGAGGAAACTTGGGTGACTGTCCAGTGAGCCAGCTGCTTCTGTCATTTCTGTAGTTTTGGAAATTACTTGCTCTGCACTTCCTGTTTACTCAGGTATTATTACTTCCTTCTAGGGTCTCTGATGGAGTTGAAGATGAGATGGTTATAGTTTTCCTTGTTACCAAATTCGGAAAAGAAACTTATAGAAAAGATGAAAAGTTTGTAAGGTTGAGAAACATAAAAGTATGAATTGTTTATTTAAGAAAATGTTTTGAGGTTTAAAAAGATAATTTTGGGTTGGTAATACAAGTTAGGATAGACAGTAAATTAGGTATACAACTCAACTTTGGCCTCACCAAGATAGGACAGATGGAGTATTTTCTTTGAATTTGCCAAGTGCAAATGGCCTGTTGCTGTTGTTGTTATTATTATTGTTATTGTTATTATTATTGAGACAGAGTTTCTCTGTGTAGCTTTGTAGACCAGTCTGGCCTCGAACTCACAGAGGTAAGTGCTGGGGTTAAAGGTGTGTGCCACCACTGCCTGGTTTGAACTGGATGTTATAAATATAATTCTTACTTGACTGATGGGAGATGTCATTCTATAAATATGTTTCTCTTATTGGTAAATGAATAAAGCCCCGTTGGCCAATAGGAAAGCAAGATAGGCAGGGCTAGGAGACAAGGAGGAGAAATTCTGGAAGTAGTAGTAAGGAGATTCAAGATGTAGAAGAGACTTGAGAGAGAAAAGGCCCAGACCCTCTCTCTGGTAACATAAGACCACATAGAAATACTTAGATTGATAGAAATGGGTTAATATTTAAGACAGAGCTAGCCAATAAGAAATGCTAGTAACTGGCCAACAGCTTTATATCTAATATAGCGTCTCTGTGTGTTATTTTGGGGCTGACGTGGCTGTGGGACCAGGCTGGTGGGAAAACTGCTCGTAACACTTGATATTTGTTCTTATTGTTTGTTCTTATTGTTTGTTTTTGTTTGTTTTTTTGAGGCTATCCTGGAACTAGTTCTTGTAGACCAGGCTGGTCATAAACTCAAAGTGATCCACCTGCCTCTGCCTCCCGAGTGCTGGGATTAAAGGCATGCACCACCACCACCCCGCAATACTTGTTCTTATTGTATATAGTCAGTCTTACTATGTTAAAGCTAAAACCTGTTTGTTTAGACAAAACTGTAGAAGTACCTGCCTAGAATCCCCCAGTGAGGGGCTGGGATGTAGCTCAGTAGTAGAGAACTTGCCTAGTATATATAAAGCCATGGGCTCTAATCTGCCCTACAAAACCAACAAAACAAATATGGGGGTGGGGAAGACAGGGAAGTTGCAGCAGGATACTTGGTTAGGCAGCATGTTCTGGAACTCATATCTATGCAGGTTAGGAGTGAGCTATTCCTCCTCCCTTCCTTTCTGGTCTTCTTGCCTCTGTAGAGCAGCACCTATCCTGTTCAAACTGCTTAAGACCCAAGGTCAGCCTTGGCATCTACATGCATCATCCAGGTTACGGAGATCACTAGGGCAGGTGACAGGTGGTGGATCATGGAGAAGTTGTATGTGAAGACAATGGTGACAAGCCCCGCCCATGCCTAAAATGGAGGGAACAACACAGCCACGTGGTACCTCCTGGGTGTCTGCTACAGCAGAGTCTTTCTCTTGTCTCTTAGCTTCTTCCAGTTCTTGACACTTGTTGGTGAGTACTTCAATTTCCTCTCTAGAGCACAAAGGGAAAAGATGGCCCTTAGTCACCATCTAGTAGGGAACAGCCCTCCTACAGTGACTGGGCAGTGCTGCATGGGGACAGACTACGGGAACAGGCAGGCTTCTGGTAACTGATGGCCACCAGCAATGCCACTGCAAGGGCATTCTAAATTGTCACCTGTGTTCTGAGAGCCTTGGAGGGCAGGGCTGAAGATGCCAGGCCCAGCCCCATTTCTGAAATATCAGAATTGGAAAACGGGTCTGTGGTAAAGTGCTTGCCTAGCACACGGCTGTCCTGGGGCCAACTCCAGCACTACATCAACAGCGGAGCACACGCTGGTGATCTAGGCATTTGGAAGGTAAAGGCAGGAGAATAAGAAGTTCAAGGTCATTTTTGGCTACACTAAGTTCAAAGTCAGAGTCAGGTACATGAAACCCCATCATACACCAACCCAGGGAATTTAAGTATGGGGACACACATTTGTAATCTCGGGAAATGGGGTTCTGAGTGGCTGAAGCTGCAAAGTTGCAATCTGAGGCCAGTTTGCAGACAGTGAGAGCCTGGGTCAAACAAAATAAAACAAAAACATAAAGTCAAAACACTATGTAAAATACTCAGTTCAGTGTTCCTACCTCAAAGCCTGTTCCTGTTCCCATCTTTCCTTCTCGCCTTCTCTGGCCATCTCCAGCTCCTTCTCCAAGTCCATCTTGGCCTGCAGCAGCTTATTCATCTCCACACTGAGAGACAGAAGCAGACATTTTCAAGGTCACTAGGCTCAAGGCTAGCACAGCTGAAGGATGTTTCACGGACATGTCACCCTGCCTCCTTCCTTAGGCACTGAATCTAGACAGGCCCTTGGTCCTAAGGACAGGGCCAGAGCATCTCTGAGGGTGCCGACTCTGCTGCAAACACCACTGTGGAAGGAGTTAACTTGAGCAAAAGCAGGCAAGATCCTACCCTGAGACAGAGACTTCTACATGACAAAGGAGGACAGTTGAGTGATGCAGCACCTTCCTCAGTGCAGTGTCTGAGCCCAGGAAGGACCTGCTCTGCTCTGGCTTAGACACAGCTGACAGGCCCTGGGGCAGGTGCTTGCACTAAGACATGGATGACACCACGGCCATGTACTCAGCTCTGATGAGATTCTCTTTAAAAGTCAGACCTGCCACTTATTGCCGGTGACCCGCTTCTCCAGGTCCCTGCTAATGTCTGCAATGAATGACCTTGAGTGTGTAGCATAGTAGACTGTCACATAGTAAGAGCTTTGTAAGCAGTAACTGTCCTGTCACCTCACAGCGTGAACTGTAGCTCCCACACGTGGGTTAAAACTAGCCGGAAGGTGGTGGCTCATGCCTTTAATCCCAGTACTTGAGATACAGCGGCAAGCAGATCTCTGAGTTTGAGGCCAGCCTGGTCTACAGAGTGAGTTCCAGGATACCTAGGGCTGTTACACAGAGAAACCCTGTGTCTAAAAACCAAAACCAAAATGAAACGAAACTAAAAACAGTAAGAAAACTTTAAAAAGATGTGTTTCACTTTATGTGTATGAATGTTTTGCCTCTTGTATGGGCATCACATGCAAGGTCAGAAGAGCATGTCAGAGTCCCTGGAACTGGAGTTATGAATTGCAGTATGGGTGTTGGGAATTGAACCTGGGTCCTCTGCAAGAGCAACATGTGTTCTAAGCCATGGAGACATCCCTCTGGTCCCCTGTGTTAAACATTTTACAAGGACGACCAATTAGAATGTCTGTGACTGGGCAGAGTTGGAATGTTACTGGTCCAAAGCCAAGTTAGCTGGAACCCCATTAGTCCTACACAGCGTTTATGCCCACCTCTGTGTCTGACCTAATACCCATGTGACTTTTCCTCTCAGAAGGTACAAGCAGACCACTGGCTTCCACCAACCCAAAGGCTAAGAATGTCCCCACACTGGGTGGTGGTGGCACATGTCTTTAATCTCAGCACTATGGAGGCAGAGGAAGGTGGATCTCTGTGAGTTTGAGGCTAACCTGGTCTACAAAGAACAAGTTCCAGGACAGTTAGAGCTGTTATACAGAGAAACCCTGTATCAAAAAACAGCCGGGCATTGATGGTGCACATTTTTAATCCCAGCACTCAGGAGGCAGAGGCATGTAGCTCTGTGAGTTCGAGGCCAGCTGGTCTACAGAACGAGTTCCAGGACAGATTCCAAAACAATACAGAGAAAGTCTGTCTCCAAAACCCCAAAACCAAACCAAAACAAAAAACCCAAATAAACAAAAATCCAAAACCAAAAAAAGAATGTTCCCTGACAGCATCTGAGGCCATAGCAGAGATTCCCTGGCTCTACTGTACCCGCCTACCTGGTTTCCACCAGTGTTTTCTAAATCACCCTGACTTAGGACTTTCATAGTTCTGCTACTTTAAAAACTTCATGAAACTGTCACCACAGTGGAACACAGTATTTGAGGTAACTATAGTCACTCATATCTGGCTACAGAATAAACTGTTAACCACTTTGGAGTGAGAAGAGTAGTTTTTTATTATTTTGTTTTGTATTCATGACAGCTTAATAGAAAATGAAGAAGTAAGTTACTCCCCAATGACAAATGAAATTTAAATTATTGTCATATATGTGTGTGTGTGTGTGTGTGTGTGTGTGTGTGCATGTGTACTTGTACATGTACCATGGCCCGCATGTGGAGAGCAGGGGAAAACTTGGGGGAGCTGGTTCTTTCCTCCTGCCATGTGGGTCCTAGGATCTAATTCAGGACACCAGACTTGGTGGCCAGTGCCTTTATCTGCTCTCAGGTCAGGTTGACTATCATGATTTAAAAATCTTTGCATGAAATGCTATTTTTTTTTTTTTAACAAGGAACTCACCATAAATTCTCATCAATGCTTATAAAACCAGGCCACAAGGCAGATAGGTCCCTGCCCTGTACATGGGTCACAATTTGTAGGATTTGGAAGCCCTGAACTTTTACATTGTTTGCCTTCCCCCAACTCCATGGTACTGGGGCTTGAATTTAAATTGGCTCTCAAGCTAGACAAATGCTGCTCCACGGTTAGATCTCACATGCTATGTAAGTTCTGTCCCGCTGAATTACATCGTCAGGCCTTGAATTTTTAAGTTTCACCATGTAGCAAGCCTTACATAGTTGAAATCCTCCTGCCTCAGCCTCTCAAGTGTTGTGATTACAGGTGCATGCCATACCTGGTGAGAATCTGTTTCTCTACCTAGCTTTCCAGGGGGCAGAGCCTTGGGCCCTACAATTCCTAACCTCTCTAGCTGAACAGGGCTTCACAAACTGCAATCCTTACCAACCCCCTTCCATGGGGGAGGGAGGGAGGGATCTGGGAACCTAAGGCATCCCTAACCAGCACCCAGGCAGTAAGGGCTAAGACCCTCAATCCCAGTTAGCTTCCAACTTAGCATCCCTAGCCAGATCAGAGGTTGGTGGAAGCTGAGGCCCTGCATTTCCCAACTAGCTTTCAATAGGACAGGGCTTAAGGTGGGCAGGGCTTGAAACCCTAAGCTCTCAATCAGGCCCTGGGCAAGCAGGGCAAGATGAGGGGTATGTTTAGGAGAAAGGCCCAACATTCGGGTGGGTGGGGCCCAGACTTGCCTGTCCTCAGGACTTCCCAAGCAGGCGGCAGGTAGGCCTTGCTTCACAATTTTACAGGTGGGTGGGGCCCGAGGCCCTTTCTCTCCAACAGCTTTCAGGGTGGACAGGGCTAGTGGCCTTGATCACAGTTTTATCACAGCAATTTAAAAATAGCTAAGACAGAGTTGGGCCTTGAACTTGTGATCTCCCTGCCTACACCTCTCCAAGTGCTGAAACCGCAGGTGAATGCTGCCCCACCTGTGATACGGGTGCTCAGTGCTATGAAGCAGGGATGCACTTAACTCCTACAGGCTGCACTTCTGCCCTCCAAGTTAGACGCTTACTCTTTCTCCAGCAGCTGTGCCTGCAATGCGCTCCGCTCCCCTTTCAGGATCTTCAGGGTTCCCTCAAGAGGCTCCTGGTCCTCAGACGAATCCCCTTTGGGCTGGTCCTCTTTGGACTGGTCTCCTTTTGGCTGCTTTTGCACCGAGATGTTGGAGGAGGAGCGGACCAGGGGATTTGGCTTGACCAGATCTGAATTAGATGGCTTTGGGTTTTCTGCAGAACTCACTTTCTGGAAGCAATGAAGCATCTGTTAACATGACCTCTGTGAGACAGACTCAGGGGCAGCTGATCTCCAGTGTGTGGGAGCTTGCTGTGGGGGCCCAGTCTCCCCTTCCCAGAAGCCAAAACCGAAGTGCAGAGAGCTGGCCAGGCCCAGAGGCAGGACCCAGTCAGAGCTACCAACACTGTACCACCAGGGCCACCAGGGAGGGAGGAGGTAAGGAGGGTGTAGTCATTTCCAACCCTGTGCTTGACGTTAAACTGGTCCACCTCTGTTTCAAAGCAACAGGCCTTTCCTATTGTGTCTCTGATGTACCTGGGTTTTCTGTATTTCCCAGGATGCTTTACGTACCAAGTATTTCCACAAGCACAGAAACTTCTTCTACTTTCACCTTTGTCTACTTTTCTACTAATTTGTCAGTGTGTGCCTATAATTTAAATATTCTCCTTTGGGCTTTGGATGGCTTTGATAAACAACTGAGGGGACTCTGGTTCCTAACTTTTTCTTTCAATATTGGGGATGCAACCCATGCTAAGCAAGTTCCAGGCAGGTGCTCTAGCACTGAGCCACACCCCATCTTTCACTGTTGGGTCTAGGCAGGTGCTCTGTTCATGAGCCTTGGCCCTTGCCCCTTACCTAGAGTCTAGGTAGGCATTGTTTCATTAAGTTACATCCCTGGCATTCTATCTCAAGATCCTATCAGGATGGACAGGTTCCCCAGAGTCAGGCTCCTCTGTGGGGCTGGTGTGGAGGTGGGGGGGGGGGAATGAGGCTAGCCTCCCATGTTCCCTGGTCAGCAATGTATAGATGAAGTGACTGCTAAGAACTGAAGTATTATATAAAAGTTTGGAATTTGCAGATGTATGCATGCATCAGGCTAGACCACAGGCACTTCATGGTCATACATACATCCACCTGTGGGACAGGAAGCCCAGTAATGGGTTCTTGGGCCTGGCCCTCTGTAAGTAAAATGAGGGCTGTGAATGACACAACCTCAAGTCTTCCCCAGACCTGCAAGGAGTTCATCTTGCCTGTGTACTTAGTACTGTGTACTAAGGCCTGCTGAGTGCCCTTACATTACTTTGCAACTCTGTATCCCCACTGAACCAGACAATGGCTGCTCTTTGGCCTAGGTAGACCCTGATGAGACATTAGCCCTGCACTTACCTTTTCCAACTCTGCGATGCGTCTCAGCAGCCGGGGCTTGCTCCAGTCTACGTAACCTAAGGAGGGCAACAGGGTTTATAAGACAGTGACAAAGGGCTCTGTAGCAGGACTACTCTTCTCAGGCATGGATTCAGCCTCCCATTACACAGATCGACAGCCAAGCCACAAACCCCAGCTGGGCACGTGCTTGTCACCAGAGGGCTTCTTATCTCACATAAATCAGGCTGGCTTCGAACTTAATATATAATAACTGAGGAACTTCTGATCTTTCGGCCTCCATCTCCTGTGTACTGACATTCATACTCTATCAAGCCTGGTTTATGTGTTGATGGGGATCGAAAATCGGTGCTCCATGCATGACAGGCAGGGACTCTCCTGAGCCTGATGATTTTCACTTTGCCAAACTCCAAATGCTAGGCTCACTCTTCACACCTGAGACACTCAAGGCTTGGGTACCACATGGTCACTCTGGCCCCTGCTGGCCCTGTGCTACTAGCTGGCCCTCATTAGCTAACTTAAATGCCTTAGGCTTAAGACTTGGCTCTGCTCTTTTCCTGTGTCCATCTTGCAGGGAGCTGTCACTTGACTCTGTCTATCTGCCAGGGACCTGCAGCACATCCAGTTCTCCAGCATGGCAGGCGCCTGCCTCAAATCTCAACCACTCCTTTTCCCTGAAATGTCAGCTCTGTCCCCTCCACAGTTCAGACAGAAAGTACTGGGGTCTACGGCCAAAAGTACATCTCAGCAGGAGAGCCCTCCCCTAGTCTATATTAGACCTGGGTTCCATCCTCAGTCCTACAAAACAAAGCAAAGGCCCTGGAGCCTGCAGGTCCCCTAGTCCTTGTTTTTTGCAGGCCCCACATTCAAGAGCCCGAGAACCAGATCTCTTCCTACATATCCACAGCCCCACGGGCCCAGGCTACTCGGACTCTCCCTGGACCACCTGTCTTACTGACAAAGCTTTTTGCACAGGTAAGGGGATACGTATGCTATGAGGCTTGTGACCAAATTCTCCATGTTTGAATGGGGTCCGCTTCCTATCTTTTCACCACAGAACGAGACATGACTTGTCTCCTGTCTCCCTTTGTGAGTGGCCTGTGGGCAGACACCTTTTATTTTGGTGACAGTAGGGGAATTGCTCAGCATGCGGTCCAGGTCCTCCTTCAGGCTCTGGTTCTCCTCTGTCAGCTCCTGCACGCTCCGGGTCAAGTTCAGCAGGGCACTGCTCATCTTCTTTTGCCTCTTCACACCCAGCTTCTTCTCCACTATGGGCCTGGGGGTAAGTGAGCAACAGGCTGAGGTGAGTCACACTTTTGGACTGACTTACAGACATCTCACAGGGACACAGATGGCTTCTTACCAGAACATTAACAATCAGAGAGGAAACCTACTCTAATCCCCACATTAGTGAAATGGCAACTCCAGTGGCAACTCTGCTTTTTTGTTTCCTTTGTCTTTGAGCCTGGAATGCCACAGTGCTCTACCAACTATGACATCTTCACTGCTCCCCATTTTTGAGACAGGGCCCCCATATGTATCCTAGGTTGTCCTGGAACTCAAGATTTGCCTGCCTCTACCTCCTGAGTGTTACCATAATGAGGGTGTGTTACCAGGCCCACCTATATTTTACTTTACTTTTGTACTTTGTGCTGGTGTATAAAGTGAGCATGGAGTGGGTTGGAGACGTGGTACAGTCCTCAGTTGTGGAAATGCTTACCTAGCACTCGGGTGGCCCTAGGTTCCTTTCTCAGGACCACCACATATTTATTTAAACCCATACATACATACATAGATAAAGCACTAAAATAAAGTCCTACAGCAGGGTGCCGAGCACCCCCTAGTGTTCCAAAGGCTGTAGTGCAGCTCTCTTGGTCTCTGGTTGGGTACTAGAAGATCACTATATATTATAAATCAGTTCTACATATTACATGTCTTTAAAGAGAAACACACACAACACCAGTCTCAGCATCTTTCTTGATGAAGATATAAGAAGTGAACACAGGGACCTAAGCCTGAATCTACTGCCCAGGACCAGTGGTTCAGTATTTACTAATTCAGAATCCCTGGATCACAGGATACTTACTTCCTGCAAATAACAGAACCTCCTCCACTTATCTGGCCTTTGAGTATGTACATGTGTGTGTGGGGTATATGTATATGTGTGCATGGGTACCAGGGTCAGAGGGGGACATCAGGTGTTCTGCTCCATCACTCTCCACCTTATTTCCTTGAGAAAGGGTCTCTCACTGAACCTGGAGCTAGGCTGGCAGCCAGTGAGTCTTATGGATTAGATATTTCTGCTGTGTAATCCCTTGGCCCCCTGAAACCCCTGCAATGCAGAAATAACTGTCTTTGTCTTACATAATAGACTAGTGCTTTACCATGGAGCTAACTCCTCAGCCCTACACGGCTCTTTAAGAGAGTGTCTTCCAGCTACTGTCTGGGATGAGTGGAGGCAAAGGGGAAAAGGACAGCCACTCCTGGTGCTGGCCACTTACACAGAAGCCTGTTATATATAGGCAGCTTTGGAGGTGCAAGGATTGTTGGCATTTTAGCATTGTATCGTTCAGGAACTATAGGTGCAATATACAAAGTAAAGAGACCTTAACTTGGGAAAACCTTAACATCAAAAACAAAACAGCGAAACAAAAAAGCTTGTTTCAAACAAGTAAGGCAGAGCCTGCTCTGCAAACCAGTGCTTCCCAGTTCTAGGCTGGGAGCTGCCATGAAGCTGGGCAGAGGGCTCAGTGGTAAAGTACCTGCTCTACACTATGAGGACTGGCACATCTGAGTTAAAAGCCAGCTACTGGCAGTGTGAGCATGACCCCAGCACTGGGAGACATAGACAGGAGATACTTGGGGCTCCAGGTTCCATGAGAGGCTCTGCTTCAGAAAACAGCGTGGAGAGCTATCAACAGATGAAGACACCTAATGTTGACTGGTGGTCTCCACATGTGCACACATGGTCATATACACATGAATATGTACACATGAATGTAATCCCCCCCCCCACACACACACAGTAAGCATTGCACAGCTGCCCAGAAAAGGGAGAGCAAGCCAGTGGCAGTAAGGGCTGCCTGACTTTGAGAGTGGCTTTAATAGTACAAAGAAACAAGAGATTCACACATGAGATCATACTTCTTTCCCGTGGCTTCAGTACTCGCCAGGAGGGTCTGCAGACGATGGATCTGTGAGATGCACAGAGAAGGTGTCAGAAACACAACAGAAGCCCGACAGTTTTCCCCCAATCTACAGTCAGCTTCCCAATTCTGGCTTTGTGCAGAGAGAGAAAACTATACTGTGGTGATCTCTGCACGCCCACTGAACCTGAGTGCATGCATAGCTGCAGGTTGCAGAGCACCAGGTCCCTCCCTACCCTCGTGCTTTAGGGTGTACACACCTCTTCATAGTATGTCTCCATGGCGATGCGCATCTCCTCCAGGTTGGTGGTCTTCATGTCCGTCTGCAGTTTGCTGGAAACCCAAGTTCAGAGTTAGCACGGTGGGACTAGCATCCAGAGGGCAGGCAGAGGAAGGACTCCCAGAAGTCAGAGAGGGGATGAGAAAGAGAAGCTTTGACCACATGAGTCTGTACTTCTGGAACAATCACACCAGACAGGGTCCTCCTGCCTGGCACCAGCCACTCCTCTGATGAGCCCACAGACCATGGACAGATGGTCTACTCTAAGAAAGGCTGCCCTGAAACACTACGGTCACTGGTACCAAAGGACCCTGGGTCACCTTCAGAGCAGAATAGCCCACTTTATAAGAAGACTCAGAGAGGCAGGTGTAGTGACACATGCATGTCATCCCAGCACTCAGGAGGCTGGTGCAGAAAGACCGTGAATTCAAGCTCAGCCTAGGCTACATAGCATGATGCTGTTTCAGAACAAGACAGGAAGAAAACCAAAAGCAGATCCTTTGCTCCCCACCACCACCAACAGCGTCCGTCACCTTGCCCTTAATATGCCACACACTTCAGAAAGAAGGCACAGGAGAAAGCAGAGCTCAGAGTCAAAACAAGAAATCAGCACACACCTAGACTCATGCTGCCAAATTTCATCAAGAAACAAGAGAGAGGCAGAAAGGCTGTAGGAATCGGGACACAGGTGAAGAGAGGCTGCCTCAGTTTCCCTGAAATGGACTTAACCACTTCTAAATTATCCCTTAGGCTTAGTGAGGCCAGAAAGCTGCAGAGAAAGCCCAGGGGCGTGAGGATGGGGGCGCAGCACAGTGTCTGCTCAGAGGCCTTGGAATCCAGACCCAGAATGTTCACACTGGACATCAAAGGTGATTTGCATGACAGGTGTGGAGGTGGGGGAATAAAACGTTGAGAAATGCTGTTTCCTAAGGACGTTTGAATTAAATAGCAGCTGAGCCTAAAGGAGTAGTCTAGTCATACAGGTTCCTCAGACCGGAGACAGAAGGCTTGAACGTTCAAGGTCTGTTTGCCTGGGCAATTCACGGAGATTCTGTCTCAAAACTAAAAGTGATAACGTGACTGAGGTAGAGTGTTTGCTTCCCACCATGACATACAGGGGAAGGAGGAGTTAACCCTTTTCAGTTTTAGATTGGAACAGGGATGTATGAAGCAAGAAGATAGAACAAACCCAACATGGAAAGGGTAGATGGAGGAGAGGCCAGTCTTTCCTGGCTCAGTGCAGACACTGGGGACCACCCACCACCAGCCCCCTCGGGTCGTACTTGATAGTGTTGTCCTTTTCTTTGCACTGTTGCTCCAGCCTGAAGATCCTCTGCTTGAGCCCGGTGATGACCTGCCAGCAGAGGGCCACCACCTCAGCACAGTCACCCACTGAGGGCTCAACCTGCTGGGCCTCCAGGGTAGTTGGGTATCCCTTCTAGGAGACCCTACAGACTCCAAGCTTCTCCCTATTGGGATTCTTGCACACACATCCCTCCCTCCCTCCTTCCTTAGTGCACTTCTAGTGATGACTAAGGGCCCCCAACCTGCTCCCTCACTGAGCAGTGCTGAGTGACTGGAGAGCAAGATGGAGGGTCAGAGGGCAGCAGCCAACCAACCCTCAGAGCCCCATAGCCGCTGTCCTACAGAACACACTGCAAATTTGAGGAGAGGGCTGGATGTGCAGTCAGCTGCTTGATAACAAAGAAGTCACCAGAACCTGGATGCTGTCCTGTGCCTGGGTCCCAGAAGAACCCAGCAAGCTGTTGCCCAAGGTCAAGACTAACTGCTCTGCTCCAGCAGGCCTGAGCCCTCCTTCCCCTTCTGTCTTCTTGGGGAGGTATTTCCTTTATAACCTAAACAACATTTTCTCTTTAAAGCCAGGGTCTCCCTGTGTGGCCCAGGGTGGTGTTTGACTTCATATCTTTCTGTATCAGCTCTGTGTGCTGAATTACAAGCTTGGAATACCATGACTGGCTTACAACTGCTACTTTGAATCAACTTCAAACACACACACCACACACACACACACACACACACACACACACACACACACACACACACAGAGAGAGAGAGAGGCATGCAGCACTGGAACAGTGAAAATACAGGGTTTGGCTTGGAGACATGGCTCAGTGGTTAATTAAGAGCACTGGCTCTTCCAGAGGACCCAGGTTCGATTCCCAGCAACTATACAGTGGCTCATAACCATCTGAAACCCCGATTCCAGGGAACATGCTGTCCTCCCCTTCTTCTGACCTTGGAGGGCATTGGGTATGTATGTAGCACACAGACATACATGCATACAAAACACCCACACAGAAAATTAAAAATTAAGGAAAAAAAGACAGGGTTTTCACTTTGAAAGTACATGTTCACTCATTAATGAATTCTACATCTTCTTCCAATGTCTTAAGTAGACATCTCAATTAACAGAACACTATTAGACATGTACTTTATTCTTTCCCTTTTGAGATATGGTTTTGTGTAGAGCAGACTGGCCTTAAAATCCTATACGGTGGTGGTGGACGCCTTTAATCCCAGCACTCGGGAGGCAGAGAGGCAGGCAGATCTTTGAGTTCGAGGCCAGCCCGGTCCACAGAGCTAGTTCCAGGACAGACTCCAAAGCAATACAGAGAAAAAAAAAAAATCCTTCTTTACTCCAAGATGACCTTGAATTTCTGATCTTCCTATTTTCAACCCATGAATGCTGGGGTTACAGGTCTACAACACTATACTTGAATTTTAAAATATTCTTTAAAAAGCTTAACACTGGAGCCTGGCAAGATGGCTCAGTGGGTAAAGACGCTTGCCGCCAAATCTGATAACCTAAGTTGGCTCTCTGGGACCCACATGTTTGGATTTGTTTTTGTTGTTGTTGTTGTTGTTTGTTTGTTTGAATTATTTACTTTGGATGGCTTTGCAAATTGTTGACCTGGGCAGCTATCGTCACCCCTGGGTCAGGAGAGTGGGTCTATCGAGAGCAATATGACAGACCAGATGCCACCCCGTGGGTCCCGACAAGCAGGCCCTGCCAGCACTAATATTTGGTGTGTAGATTCTGAGTATTTCTGTTTTTATCTAGACCCTGCCAAATCTGGTTTGTATTATCCTTGCTAATCTTGTTGTGTAAGGTTTTACTCAGAGTAACTTAAAATAATTCCTTTCCTCCCAGTATGCAGTGCTGGTGAGATCAGAAGTCAAGTCCACGGCAACCACCACCCCTGCTTTCCCTGAGCCTGGGAACAACAGGAAGGAGCCAGATTTCGGTAACCCTCTGAAACTCATTTTCCTGCTTTTAAAATGAGGGGGGGGGGGGCTGGCTCAGTAGCTTGTTGCACAAGCACTGAATTTGGATCCTAAGCATCCACATAAAAAGCCATTGTGTCACTGTATGCCTGTAACCTTAGCACTGGGGAGGTGGAGACAGGAGCACACAGACACAGGCATGCATGAACACATACATACACACACACACACACACACACACACACACACACACTATCTTCCAAAAGATGAAATGAGCTCACAGAGGTCACAGACATGCTGACTGCACAGGAGGCAGAGACAGGTGGATCTCTGAATTCAAGGCCAGCCTGGTCTACAGAGAGAGTTCCAGCACAGCTAGGGCTACACAGAGAAACCCTGTCTCGAAAACAACAAAAACATTTTCTTGATCCAGCAGCATGTGCCTGTGGTCCTAGCACTTGAGAGGCTGAAACTGGGGATTGCTTGAGGCCAAAAGATGTAAGCCAGCCCAGACAACATAGCAAGACCCTAAATAAATACTTTTCTTGTGGACATATACTGGTCTTTCACAAGTGTTAGGTGTTGACTTTGAGTCCTAAACATAGACTGTCTTTAATCATTAATATTAAATGTGTATTTCTACATGATGATATACACATATATGTGTATATATATATGTATATATGTGTGTGTATATATATACACACACACACACAATTTTCAGACTCTTAAATATTTTTATTGCATTTATTGTTAGGGGTTGGGTGAGGAATGTGTGCCATGACCCTCATGTGGAGGTCAGAGGACAACTTTCAGGGGCTGACATCTCCTTCTATGTGGGTTTCTGTGGTGGGACTCAGGCTATTAGGCTTGGTGGCAAGTGCCTTGATGCCAGTCTTGTTGGTCCTATCTCACAAATCTTACAGCTGGAATATCTTCAGTGACTACAGATATTCTGTACACGCCTGACAGAGAACACTGCTGTAACCTAAGGCCCTGCTTCACGGCATTCTTTCAGTCCCCCTTTTAGTCTTGAGGCTTTGCTTCATGATGTCAAGCTCATTAACCCATTGCTGTCTTACTCCTTGAACCTTGACTAGTGGGGACAATGACATATTCCATACCCCATCCCAATCCCCACCTCATTTTAAACAGAATTTAAACAGAAACTGCGGTTTGGAAGTAATTTCCAAGTTGTACACTGAGACTCTGCTGTTGTGGTTTTTGGTTTGTTTGTTTGTTTGTTTTTTTTTTTTGCATTCTGAGACAGGGTCTCATGTAGCCCAGGCTGGCCTCTATGGAACAGAGGCTTGTCTTGAACTCCCAAATGCCTTCTTCTATTTGCTCACTTTCTTATTTATTTATTTATCTATTTATTTATTTAGCGGTGTTTCCTCCCTGGCCCTGTTCTGTAGATTGAAGTCAGGGTTCCACATTCTCACCCTGCCCCCAACCCAAGCCTCACTATAATTGTGTAGCATTTGTTCTACCTTTTTTAGCCTCTGTTAAACCTGCTGCCCCCTGAAATTCCTCAAAGTATCATCCTGTGACCTCTGTGGCTCTAAAAACAATAGTTCTAGAGAGTTCTGAGCCCATGCCCTTCCTGCGGTTCCACTATGAGATAAATGGAAGGCTCTCCTTGGAGCTGGAGGCTCTACTCACCCAACCAGTGTCCGGCCTTTTCTCGGCCAGGGTTCGCACAAAGTCTGGGCCCTGTAGGAAGCAGATGGAGACATTAAGCCCATGGTGGCTTTTCCTCCTGTCTGCTTCCCACGGCACCACTGGCATCACTAGGCAGCAGGAGACCTCTGTGGGCCCTGGGACTTACTCGACCTGGATCCAAAAGCTGTTCTATTTGGCGATCCTTTCTGTTGTTTTCCTCTTCCAAGCGCCGAAGCTTTGTTCGCATGAGATCCACATCACTTTTCTGCATATGTAAGGACTGGGAAAGAAAAGGAGGGTGTGGTTGGCAAGATGGTTCAGCAGGTAAAGGTGCTTACCATCAAGCCTGATGACCCAGGAGGGACAAGAACTCACACATGCACACACTCAGGCACACACACAGTGGAAGGAGAGAACCATCTTCTCTAAGGTGCTCTCTTACCTTTATGAACACACAAAATAAATGTAAAAACAAAACTCAACCAACCAACCAAAAGCAAAGAAAAGGTAGGCCATGAAGGTCTCCATGAGTACAGTGAATCCTGATTTGGGGAGGTTCTTTCTTTCTCTTTTTTCTTTAGTCCAGACCAGCCTAGACCTGGCAGTAATTCTCCTGCCTCAGTTTCCCAACTGCTGGGATCACAGCCATACTTGGCTTTGAAAGAGGTTTTTAAAGCCCTGGGTGTCACAGGGGCCGGGGAGATGGCTCAGTGGTTAAGAACACTGACTGCTTTTCCAGAGGACCTGAGTTCAATTCCCAGTCTCCACATGGTGGCTCACAGCTATCTATGCCACAGAATCCATGGGATCTGGTGTTCTCTTCTGGTCTACAGATGGGCATGAAAACAAAACATTGAAAAAATGTAAATAAACAAATCTTAATTTTTTTTTTTTTTAAAGCCAGAAATCGGTGGCACATGCCTTTAATCCCAGCACTCAGGGGGTAGAGGTAGGTGCATCTCTGAATTCAAGGCCAGCCCAGTCAAAAGTTCCAGAACAGCGAGAGCTATCCCAAGAGATCCTGTCTTGAAACAATCCCCTCCTCCAAATTCATCAGTGTCAGGTATTGGGGCAATCTGGCAGCAAGGGGTGAAGAGGGTAATCCCAACACTTGAGGTACAGGAAAAACCAACGCACCTGAAACCCTTCCCATTACAACGCCAATGGCAACCAGCTGACAAATACTTGTATGCCTGTGAACTTTGGTCCTGAAAAGTCCCAAAGTCCTGTACCTTCTTCTGTCACACTACATAACGCACGCAGTCTGATGCTCCTTAGCAATACTAGCCACAGGGCTGGAGAGATGGCTTAGCAGTTAATAGCACATACTGCTCTTGCAGAGGACCTGAGTTGAGTTCCCAGCACCCTCAATGGGTTATTAAAATATTGCCTATTACTCCTGCCCTAGTGGATTCAATGCCCTCTGATGGTCTCCACAGGCACCTGTACCCACATACACATAGGCACACATAAGCACACAGAGGAACACACACACACACACACACACACACACCATTAAGAAAAATAATAATGAAGTTATACTAGCCCTCAGCTGTGTCTGAGGAGAGACGTTCCCAACATCCCTCTATGGATTTTTTTTTTTTTAACCAAACTTTGGCAGGCCAAGGAGAAATAGATCCTGTAAACAACTCTTACATTTTATTTTTTGCAGTCCTGAGATTGAACCTAGGACCTTGCGTGTACTTGACTGGCACTCTACTGTTAAGCCACACCTACAAATCCTTCACTGATAGACTCTAGGCAAGGACCCTACCACCGAGGCACACTCCAGCCCCTCACTGGGGGATTCTAGGCAGGTGCTCTACCACTGAGCCACACCTTGAGGGCCTTACTGTGGGATTTATTCTACACAGCACTCTGATCTTCCACGATGGAACACTGTATCTTATACATTCTACAAAGTGCTCTATTACTATGTCTCCAACTCCCTTCAGGCTGAGCTCCAAAACCTTACAAGGATGAGTTTGAATAGTCGGGGTCATTTTCCCAAAGGTCTATTTCTAACCAAAAACATGGCTCCCACTGTTACAAGGTACCATTTGTAGCAATCATTTATTGTTGGGGGCTCTCCACATCCACTACTGTCTCCCAGGCAGAGATAGAACCTCTCTACACAGCCTCCTATGTCAGCTCAGCCTCAGTTGAGAATGTTCACTCAAGGGATACAAGTCCTTTTCAGGGGGTCCTTTTGCTGCTGCATAACCAGCATGTTTGCATTTTGGAGACAGGGTCTCATATATCCCTGGTTATCCTTGAATTCACTATGTTGCTCAGCTGGCTTTGAACACTTTACTCTCCTGCTTCCTCAGTGCTGGGATGACTGGCCTACACCTGCATGCCTGGCAAGCCCTCTACCTCTTCTGCAGTTGGCTGCTATGGACTCCACGTGACTGTCATTCAAGTCTCAGTATGATACTGACTTTCAGTCAGTTAGAGAAAGCCTATCACTGCCAATCAGAAAGGAGCAGAATAGACCCTACCTTCTTCAACTCGATGATCTCGTCATACATGTCCTCCTTCTCTCTGTAGACAGAAGTCCCAGAGACGTGACCTGAAGAAAGACACACACCTCTTAGGACATCGTGGGACAGTAGAAAGGACCTTTGGTTATGCCTGAAGGGAACCCTGAAAGTTAAAACACTTGTTTGCTGAGATAGATGAGTCTCACTGGATAGTCCAGATTGCCTGGAGTTCAAGAGGGTCCTGCCTCAGCCTTCTCAGTGCTGGAGAGACGAGGGAGTACACACCAGCCTGGCTGACTGAGGGTCTGAGTGCCTGTGTGATGTATACATGTGTACATCTATGTGTGTTGCGAGCCTGTGTTTATGGGGAGGTCAGAAGAGGATATTGGGAGTCTGCTCTATAGCTTTTTGCCTTATCCCCTCACTGACCGTGGTTCTAGGCTGGCAGGCAGCAAGCCCTGGTGTCTTCCTGTCTTTGCCTACCACAGTGCTGGGTTACTGGGATCATACCTGGCTTTTTGTATAGGTGCTGATATCTGAACTCAGGTCCCTGTTTGTATAGAAAATGCTCTTACCCACTGAGGCATCTCTCCAGGTATGTAGGTCTTAATAACACTTAACCGGTTATAAATCCAAAATATCCAAATAAGCCTAAACTGTAACCTTAATCAGTAGATTTGGTTCAGAGGGAAATGGAGCCAGCTGTAACCATGCTGGAGAGCTGTTCCTCTCTACTAAGGCCCAGAGAGGCCAACAGCCCCATGGGCAAACACTAGTAAGGAACAAACAAGGAACCAGCAAGGTGGCCTGGCAGGTAACAGCACTGGTTGCCAAGCCTGAAGACCAGACTTCCATCCCAAGGCTCCCCATGGTAGCAGGAGAGAAATGACATCACAATATGTCCTCTGACCTCCACATGCACACCACAGCGCATATACAGCCCACCCATTGGTAAGGAATTTAATGTAATTCTATTCAAGAAGGTGACATGGTGGGTTGGCTATGAGACTCTTCATGAATCACTGTCCCTCCGAACATTCTAGAATGCCTTTCAGATAGAGCTTCGTGCAAAAAAGAAAAAAAAAAAAAATCTCACCCCTCAATTGCTAGAGGCTTTCCTTTCTGCTCTCCTGGCCTTGTCCCTGGGAACATGCTCACCATGACTGCCAGAACGCCTGAGGTCTGCCCTCTTCGCTCTCACGGCTTCTGTCAGGTGGTCGGGAGTGCAGCTGTGGGGGTGGGTCCATGTGTGCTCCAAGGTAAGCATGGAGCTCAGGGGTTGGGTCACACTTCCTGGTTTGAATGTGCATGGATTTAACAGGGCAGGTGCAAGCACACAGTCTTCGAAGCTCTACCTCCCCCATCAAGCTCCAGGGGAGGAGGGTTCCAGGAGATGGGGGTATACTGGTAAATGCCTAACAAGCAGCTCATGGAGATCAACTCAGGAAACCTGTATCTGTCACATGTGCCCATTCCCCTGGTGTAAAGACTCCCACTTCAGGCTTCCAGTGTGACTAAGACCAGCTCCCAGAAACCTTAACAGTTGTCTCCTGTAAGCTGGTAGGAACTGGCTCCATCACACCTCTACCCCAGGTGTGAGACAACCCTGACATGTTCGATGTCTTTGAGAAGGTGAAGGACAAGCTCACTGAGACCACACAGCTCACACACGCTAACTCAAATCATTGTCAAGTTCCCACACTTTGTCTCAAGCCTGAGCCCCATCCATAGGAGGAGTCACTTACCAGGCTTTGAGGATCCCAGCCACAGCTTCTGTGGGGTCAAGGACATTCTGCTGCTCAGAGGCATGCTCCCTGCTGTCTTCAGAGACCGCCAGGATGTCACTTTTCTGGGCTTGGAGTAGTAAGGTGACTCTGAGGAGGTAGCATGCAGTTTAGAGCTGTGGTACCACTGGGCCTCAAACACCTTCGTTTTACAAAGGCAAAAACTGGTAAAACACAAGATGCAAAGGGCGCTCCAGGCAAACACCAAGAAGTGTGATAATTTACTGACTGACTTACTAAGGTCTTATATACTGATAGGCCAGGCCAAACTAGAAACTCTGGGTTCAAGAGACCCTCTTCTTTTGTTTTTTGAAGATGTATTTTATTATTTTAAATCGTGTATAGGTTTGTGTGTCTGTGTATGGGTGAGTACAGACAGGCACCGTGGCAAAGACATTAAATTCCCTGGAGCTGCAGTTACAGATGGTTGTCAGAGGGCACTGGGAACCAAACACAGGTCCTCCAGAAGAGCAGAAACTGCTATTAACCACTGAGTTATTTATCCAGCCCCTCCTCAAACCACACCAGAAAAGCAACATCCTTCACTTTCTTCAGGACACAGGCATAAGGCCATTCTTGGCACACTGCAGAGTCACGTGGGAATGAAGGGACAGCAAGTGTCATACTCACTTGGTGATGTAGAAGGAGGTTTGTGGAAACCTTTTCTTTTTGTTTTCTGAAAGAAAGAAGGAGCAACATGAAGCATGCTGGGCTTTCTGAGAGACCTCAGTGGCAGCACTGGCAAACTACACCATGCTCAGTGGAGAACAAGGGAGACAGGCCCTGACAGAGACCCTGGCCAGGGCAGACCTTGTGGAGGCCTGAGAGATGCTTGGGAGGCCCAGGGCTAGGGTCAGGAGTCAAAAAAGTCAATCTCTCTGAGTGTGGTGGTGCACGCCTTTAATCCCAGTACTTAGGAGGTAGAGGCAGGTGGATCTCTGCATTCAAGGTCAGGCTGGTCTATGGAGTGAGTCCCAGGACAGTCAGGAATACACAGAGAAACCTTGCCTTGAAAAACCAGAAAAAAGGACTGCTGTCATTGTTCCTGCTCTGCATGCTGGTGAGTACCTGTGTGCCCATGCATGTGTGGTAAGATGAATCCCTTCTAAGTAAATTCATGGTAGATCCCCATTTAGGAAGAGAAACCCAGGAAGACAGAGGATGCTGTGTGGAAAACAGTCTCCATGGCAAACAGATGCCCATGCAGTCTGTTGGGAAATAGGCTTGGTTGCTTCTAGGGCAGGGCTGTGGTAAGAAACCTGCTCTCCTAAGTGCATTCAGGCTGGGTGTGACGGAGTAGCATGTGATGTGTCCTTGCTCCCCCTCTGGTGGAAACACTGTGCTCTATGTCTCAGAGAGACTTGGACTCTGCTTGTCCGGTGGCTCATTCCACAGCCTGTGGCATCAGGATCGCCTTTGTGCTGAGTATCTTGGGCTCATATCCCTATGATATAGAGGAAAGCTCCTGGCTGTGGACACCTGTTGTATATATAACAACTTCCTCCCAGATTGAAACATTCTATCCCACAGGATGCTCCTTAGCACGAAGATTCATTAGGCTCCTTCCTGTCAAAGTTGAGAGTCATTCTCAGGGAAGGAAACCTAAGAAGACTCTCAGACTCCGAAGACAAGACCAGCTGCTGCTTGGCAGAAGTCTAGATCAGAGCCACTTGGATAGTCTCCAATCTGTTGAGCTTCCTGCTGACTGTTCATTGTGCTTCATGTTCCCAGCTTTGTGAGCTGTCACCTATGCTGGGCCTTGGTAATGCAGCTGTGTTTGAGTAATCTTTGTTCCTATCAAGTAACCTCTCACTGATACTCCTCTAAGTAACCCCTTCACCAAGTTGGACTTTGGTGGTATCTGTGTTTTGGTCTGTTGTGGGATCCCTGTCTGGGGTGAGTAGATGTGTGTGCTCCGTCTCTCAAGGAAAGGTTTTGTCACACAAAAACACAGGGGTCCCTCCTTGGGGACAACAGGCTTGTAAGGCTTCTAAATGCAGTTGAGACTTCTTGTGTTGGGTCTCTTCAGAGCTCATGTATAGCTGGAATCAAGTCTACACTAAGGGTAACTTCATTGGCTTGTCCCTAAGTGAGCACTTAGCATGCTGCCTTTGCCACTCAGCACAATTTACGAAGAACCCAAGAGGCTAGCCAATCCCCAGAGTCACTGGAAGTGCAGTTCCACTGTAGAGGGCCTGCCCAGAATCCCCCAGTGAAGGACTGGAGTGTGGCTCAGTGGTAGAGCACCTGCCTAGAATCCCCCAGTGAGGGGCTGGGGTGTGATGGGAGATGTCATTCTGTATATGTTTCTCATACTGGTTAATGAATAAAACACTGTTGGCCAATAGGAAAGCAAGAGAGGAGGGACTAGGAGACAAGGAGGAAAGAGGAAGTAGAAGGAGGAGTCAACATGGAGAGACTGGAGAACAGAGGTCCCGGCCCACTTTCTCTGGTAAGACCACGTGGAAGTACTTAGATTAATAGAAATGGGTTAATAATTAAGACAGATCTAGCCGATAAGAAATAAGTAACTGGCCAACAGCATTATATCAAATACAGAGTCTCCGGTGTGTTAATTGGGGCTGGTGTGGCAGTGTGACTGACCGGCAGCAGGAGGGGAGGGAAAAAACCTACTCGAACAGGGGTGTGGCTCAGTGGTAGAGCACCTGCCTAGAATCCCCCAGTGAGGGGCTGGGGTGTGGCTCAGTGGTAGACTGTGTGCCTATAGGGCATGGCTCTACAGTGTTTTCTTGACTAGTTCCTAGCACTCTGGAGATCCAGTGTGAGCTGCCATGTGGGTATGGGAATTGTATCTGTACACTCTGCAAGAGCAGCAAGTGCTTTTAGTCATGGAGTTATCTCTTGAGCCCTTCATAATTAATTTCTAAAACTAGCTTTAAAATGATAACCTCTGTTTTCATTATTATTTTGTTCTTGCTGCTACTGTTTGAGACTTAAGTAGTCCAGGCCAGATGACTTTAAACTCGCCCCCTCCCACCTTGCCTCCACCACCTCCCAAGTGCTAGGATTACAGGCATGCACCACTGTGCCCAGTTTGTGCAGGGTTAGAGATGGAACGTGGGGCTTCATGCCTGCTAGGTAAGTTCTCTACCATTGAGTTATATTCCTAGCCTTTAAAATTGATTTCTAGGGCTGGAGAGATGGCTCAGAGGTTAATAGCACTGGCTGCTCTTCTTAAGTTCAATTCCTAGCAATCACATGATGGCTCACAACCATCTGTAATGAGATCTGGTGCCTTCTTCAGTTGTGCAGGCAGAACACTGTATGCATAATAAATAAATCTTAAAAAAAAAAGAAAAAAGAAATTTATAAAAAACTTTTCTACAAAATAAAAAGTTTAAAAATGATAACTACCAGACTAAAACTTCTACAACAGAAGCAGCTCTGGGAACCAGTGCTCTGAGTCTCCTAGCACTTGGGGAGACTTCTACACACACATCCAAGGAGCACCCATATGGAGACAGTCACCCTGACCTGCACTCACCGTCTCAAAGTCGGAATCAAAGGTAATTGCAGACAGACTGTCATCTCCCTGGAAAAAATGCAAACAGGGTCATTAGAAGGCACCTGCTCAGGTTTGAAGTCCCATTTGAAAGCTGCCTGTGCCAGCTGCCCCAGCGGAACCCAGCATGTCCCACAGGCCAGCACAGGAAGCCAGGGACATCTGCATCCTGAGCAGCCAGTGTGCTGTGATAAAAGGAGGGGTGGGAGTAAGGGGATGCTTCAGTTATGAAATTATGTGCTGGTCAAGCTCGACCTGAATTCGATCCACTGCTGGGGGTAGAGACAGGTGGATCTCTGGGACTCAGTGGCCAGCCAGCCCAGCCTACTTTGTGCATCTGAGACCCTCAAAAGAGGGGTGTGTGTAGATAATGTCTGAGGAATTTCATGTGACATCCTTCAGGCCTCCATTCATGAACACATGTAGAAAGAGGAGGGAGTGGAGGGGTGGTTATTAAAGGTTCTGTCCTGCCGAGACTCTATCCACTGAAGTATGGTGGGTCCTCAGGACAACTGTGTGACTTTGAGAACATTCTCAGCTCAAAAGAGGCATTCCATTTCTCACTGTTCTCCCTCCATCTCCCATCTTCCACTTAAAGGATGGCGACTTCCTCTGCCCATATCCTGGGCATACATATGTTTTAATTTCATGTTTCCTGTTTAATGACATTTAAACTTTCTCTCTCTCACTGTGTGTATGCACATGTGTATGTAGGTGCCTGTGGATGCCAGAAAGGTTGCCAGATCCCCTGGAGGTGGACTTACAGCTGTGAACTGTCTGATATGGGTAGGGAACTGAACCCCAGTACTTTGAAAGAGCAACAACTACTCTTAACTGTTGAGATATCTCTCCAGTCCCCACCTCGCAATATACTTTATTTTTATTTGTTGTACATATGTATCTGGTGTGCTTATCTGTACATGTGTGTTCATGTTTGTGGACCTCTGAAACAGACACTGTGTGTCTTCCTTCACACCTTTTCACTTTGACACGGGCTCTCTTACTGAACTCACAGCTTGACAACTGTGGCTCATCTAGCTAGCCAGCATGCCCAGGGGATCCCGTCTCAACTTCCTGAACATCGGGGTTACAGGCAGCAGCTGTACCCATGGGGCTTTGCTGTGGGTTCCAGAGATCTGAACACTAGTCCTGGTGCAGGCCAGCATTTTATCCCTGGAGCCTTCTCCCCAATTTTAGGTTACATTTTGGAAAACATCTCTGAGTAGTGCCAATAAGGATTTGGGAAACTGAGGCAGAAGGATGCCGAATTTGAGGCCAGCCTGAGCTACATATGGAAAGTGCTAGCAACAACATTAAGGGTAAAAGTTACAGAATAATAGAAATATGATGTTTTAACTTAAGGGGAAACAATGCAAATGAAAAAGACAACAAATATTAATTGTCCAGGTTATGAATAACTTACCGAAGGCACTGATATTTCAATGCATTTTCTTTGTAATTAAACACAAGAAGGTTTTAACTTCTTCAAGGTTTGGAGAAGTGGTTCAGTGGGAGAGCACCATGAGGGGATGGGGGCGTGGCTCAGTGGTAGAGTGATTGCCTGGGCTAGGGATCTGACTTGGCAGTGAAGTGCTTGCCTAGAATCTCCCAGTGACCCTGTTGGGGATGATCATCTGTAGCATTCTGGCCTTGCATGAGGGGTTCAGTCTCCAATAGCACACACAAAGCAAATAGCGACTGACCACCCAAACTAGGTAGGACCTTCCTCTGCAGGGGCAAGTAGGAAATCCTAGTTGGCTCTAGGCTGACCAGAAGCACAGTCCCTTAGTCAGTGTGGAACCTCCCACGGGTGTTCCTTGAACCCTTGACAAGTCATTCTGTCCATGGCCAGGCTCCTGCCTACTTACTTCAGTCCCCTTCTCAATATGATCGAGGAGGGCTTGCTTTCTGTTCCTTGGACACGGCACTTTACCGCCTCATAGCCTATGCATTTATTGTTCTCGCTGACCCTAAACCTGTACCATAGTCTTCCTACTTATCTTTGAGATTAGGAATATCATCCCATAGTTTATCCTATAGCTCCCACTGGAATGCACAAAGTTCACTTGGTACCGGCACGCACAGAGGGCCAGAGGGTCCACCCCGCAGCGGGAGACCGAGGGCAGCACGTTTCTTCTAGAGACGCCTCTCTGACCCGTGCAGGGTGGGCCATGGGGGTGGAGGCCTTCTCCTTTGCGTGGGATCACTCTGAAGAGTCCCTGGAGTGCAGCCTGCAGCAACACTTATGAGGTGAACTCGTCACCAGTCTGCTGCGGCTTCAGACCCGTAGCGCGTGCGGGAGGACGCAGTCCCGGGGGCTTCTTGGAAGCAATGGCCTCCACGAGCGCAGGCCGGAGCTGCTGGGGCGCGGGCACGTTGGCGGCCGACGCCCGGGGTTGGCTCTTGTGCGGTAACAATCGGCCTGCGGGAGCTGGCTGCCACCGTGCTCCTCCTGTCTTCCCGTCGCCCCGGGTCTCCTTACCGTCTCTGAGGCTAGATCCGCGGTGCCCTGACTCATAGTGGCGGCGCTGCGCGGCCTCCTGGGCGATGCGAGATCGGCCCTTAACGTGGAAGGCCTGCCAGCAGCCCCGCTGCCATGGCAACCGGGCCTCGGCCACAGGGCCCCGGATGTGGACATTCCTCTGGTTCTCGGCTAATCGTGCGCGCGCGCAGTGAGGTCGGTCGCGGGGCCGACCATGCACTCTCCTGGGATTGTACTGCGCAACCGCACCTTGTCTCTTGTGGGTTTTCGGTTTCTCGTGATGCATGAATTGAAACCAGGGCCTCCTGCATGCTTGGACGGCTCTCTCTCTCGGAGCCACGCTCTCAGCTGCAATTTCAGGACCTTGAGTTGGGTTTCAGCAGACAGTGGCTGCAGTTGTGTAGTCCAGTGGGCAGGGGTCTCGAGGGTTGCCATGCTGAGTAGACAGACACAGGAGACAGGGCGGAAAGCACCATCGTTAGTGATAGGCACCTATTTAAATGTTTATTTCCCTCTAAATAATCTGAGATGTTGGTGCGAAAGTGACTCCCTAATTGTTAGACCAGGGCCTGACGCTTTAAGGAAAGGACAGCCCACACCAGAACTACCTATCTGACCGCACCAATTGCTTTACACCCTCGAAAGCCTCCAAACTCTTCGGGAAGACCCTGCGGCTTATCCCACCCAGGCCAGTTGAGGAGCACTTCACAGGTGCAAACTCAATATTTCATTTGTTCGGGATCACCCTATCTCTTCTGCCTCAGTGCTGGGATTACAAATGTATGTCAACATGCTTTTCCCCCCTTGTTCTTCCACCCCACTCTATGGGTCTGGCGACTGGCAGACTCGGGTCCTTAGGCTAGTGAAGCAAGCACTTAACTAGCCTAACTATTCCCCTGCCCGTATTCAGTTTCTGAGTAAACAGCTCCCCCCACCCCCAGCTGGGTGATATTGCAACATTAACCTCAGGACAAGGCTTCTCTTGGTTTTTCTTACCCACTGGGAAAAGAATTTCTTTCTTAAAAAAAAATTATTTTGAGACGGCGTGACTAGCCCCAAACTTACAAAAGTACGTCTATGCTGAGTTTAAAGTCTTCCACACTATGCCCTGTGAGGTATTTCTTATGTGTTTGTGTGGGTGTATGCCAACTGTGTGTGGGTGACCTCGGGGCTGCGGACCTAACTCTGGTCGTCTGCTAGAATAGGAGGTACTCTTAAGCACTGAACCATCTCTCTAGCCCGGCTTGCCTACTTTTTATCTTTATCATTGGCCGAGTGGGCTGAAGCGGTGAAGAGCCACAGAACGGCAGACTTTGGTGACTGGAGGGTCCTGACCCTCTAGTCCCTGGAGTTTAGCGTTAGCCGCTGTAGGAGCCGAGGGTTTCGGCACCGGAGGTCCTGCGCACGCACTGCTTGCCTGCGCCGTTCCCTGCAACTGGCAACAGGGGTTATGAGAGGAAAAGCCAGTGATCATAAATGCCTAGACACGTGGCCTAAGGGCAGCGAGGCACCGCCTTCCTTAAATAACCACGCCCACACCGAACCAGTCTTAGAGACGTTCCGCCCACTGCCTGCGTGGGCCTGCACCACTTAGCGTGGGGGGGGGTGTTGTGATAGTTCCGAGTGAGTGTGAAGATCCCAAGCTGTAGCCAGTTGAAGTGCATTTACAGGATTTTGAGCTTTAGAGGTGATCCGAGTCGCGGTCATGGTCATCACCGGTCTCTAAACTCACCGTTCCGCTCTTTCTCTCCCGTGCCTGTCACGTGGTACTGTCTTAAGGCGGGACCCTGTAGACTTCAGCAGAGGGCGCAATCAGCAGCACTGAGGGGCGGAGTCCGTAACCACGTGGGAAGGAACCACGTCGGGGGCGGGGCCTCGGCTGCTTGCTGTGAATTCAGGCGGGGTGGGACTAGAAGATGGTGGGGCGGGGTCCGCGGCTGCGTGCAATGAACTCTGAGGGGAGGGGCAGGACCTAGGGAGGGCGGGGCCTGAGCCGGCGTGGAGCGGAATTTGCGGAGGCGCGGGCGGGGCCTGCAGCAGACACCGGAACCTCGGCGAGTGAGACGCGCGCAGAGCTGGGGTCTACGTCCAGGTAAGCCAGGCTTCGAGCTCCGGCCGGGCACTTGGGGCCTGGTGGTGCATTCTATTCTCTAAGATCTAGTTCCGTAGCGGAGGGGCTCGGAGGTGGGATTCGAACCCCAGTTTATTTGATATCGCGGAGAGCGCACCTCTAACCCGGACTTAGGAAGTACGGACGACCAATGTCGGGGTTGAGACGGACCCTGCTGGGCCGACAGATACCTATATCATTGCCCTCTAAGATGCGTATTTCTGTCTTGAGTGGACTCCTACCAGTGCAGGCCGCAGGGTTGTCACTTGCAGCCTCTTCCGACCTGGGCTGTGACACACTCCTTCCTTTGCACTCCTGGGTCTCATGCAAGTTTCTCTTGACCGTTGGGAACAGTCTCTGGGATCAGGTGTCTGGATGGACAGCCCCCTGCACACTTGGCTGACACCCTGACTGTTCTAGTCGCAGCTAGGTCAGTAGGCAGTTGCACCTCCATCCACCCCACGCATCAAACCCCTAAGTTGACACCAAAGGTGGCTCTGATTAACATTTCCTCACTCACTGACAGTGCAGATGCCAGGACTCAGTCCTCTTGACTGCCCAGGCTCCCCTGGACTGAGCTTAGCATCTTTGTGGGATTAGAGTTCTGGTCTATATGAAGTTTCCTGGGCCCCTCCCCCATCATAGGAGGCATTGAAGTCTGCCTTTGACTAGAGTGGCTGGGTCTGAAGCCAGATATGATCATGGCTGACCAACCCATTGCTTCCTCAGTAGGAACTGCTGTCCTGATCATGGACCCAGAATGTTCCAGGCTCCTCCCAGCTCTCTGTGCTGTTCTGACAGATCCCAGGCAGCTGGTGGCAGATGACACCTGCTTGGAGAAACTGCTGGATTGGTTTAAAACAGTGATGGAGACAGGTAAGGACAAGGCGTATAGCACTGTCCGTCTATCTGGTGTCTTTAGGGAGAGTCAAGATGGGATGCTAGGGTGGTGAACAAAAGTCCCATGGGAGTCCATCCACGTTTCAGGCTTGCTGCTATTCAGTTCACATTAGGTGTTTGCGGAGAGCACACCTATATTGTTTAGCTATCTTTGTTGTATTTTGCTTCTTTTGAAAAACCTAGATCTCTGGGTAGATGTGGTAGGGCATGTCATCCAGAAGTCAAGGCAAGTGGACCTCAACTTCAAGGTCAGCCAGCGATACATAGTTTAGCCTGAGTTACATTTTTGCAGTATGGGTGGATCTTAACTTATTTAATCGCTTGCATTGTTTATGTTCCCAGTTTTTTGTTATTATAAATAGCACTGTACCAGCTTTCCTTGAGCTTGAGTACCCTGGCACCTGAAGTTTTTCCTGCCATGGTTGATCCTTGTCTTCTGACAGGTTCGGTGCTCTTGTTGTTAAAACCTACCTTCATTGCTCCCATGGTTTGCTGTTATTTTTCTTTTCTTTTGAGACATGATCTAATGTAGCTTAGGCTGTTCTCAAATTCACTCTGTAGCTAAGCTTCACCTTGAACCTCTGGTCCTCCTGTCTGCAGCTGCGTGCTGGGATCATAGGTGTGAACCATCACTCCCTGTTTTTATTGGATGCTGAGGATGGAGCTAGGGCTTCCTGCACGGCAGACTACCACTTTACCAATGGCGTTACATCCCCAGCCTTTATCTTTTCTGTGTGTGTTTTGTCTTGCCTGTTTTCTTTTGTTTGTTTGTTTGTTTGTTTTGTTTTGTTTTTTGAGACAGGGTTTCTCTGGCTGTCCTGGAACTCATTCTGTAGACCAGGCTGACCTCAAACTCACAGAGATCTACCTGCCTCTGCCTCTCAAGTGCTGGGACTAAAGGTGCTGATGTGTTTGCATATTTATAACTGTACATGTTTGCTCATGAATGTAGAGGCCAGAGGTTGATGTTACATATTGAGGCAGAGTCTCCCATTTTCTTTCACTTGAACCCAGAGCTTGCCAGTTTGGCTATTCTAACAGGACAGCTGAGGGTTCCCTATCTGTGTCTCTGGAGTGCTGTCTGCCCAGCATTTATATTGGTTCTGGGAATCTGAACTCTGACCCTCACAGAAAGCTTTACCTACTGAACCATTCCCCAGATCTCAAAGCCTACTTTTTAGTCAAGTTTTTGCGAATAATTTTATAGGATTTGTGAGTGTGTGTGTGTTTTGCATGCACACCCAGGTATCTACATATGAAGATTAGAGCAGGATATTAGGCATCTTCTACCATCACTCTCTGCCTATTGCCTTGAGATAAGGTCTGTTACTGAACCTGAAGTTACAGGAAACTAGGCTGACTGGACAGGAAGTTCTTGGGATCTGCCTGTCTCCACCCCTCCCCCAACTCTAGAATTAGAGGCATGCAGAGACATACCTGGCCTTTTATGTGAGTGCTGGGAATTCGAACTCAGGTTCCTCATGCTTGTAGTGCCTGCCTTATTTATGGAACCATCTCCCCAGCCCCTTTCACAAGTTTGATTTGTTGTTGCTTCTTTGGAGGCAGGGTTCAGCTGTGTAGTCCAGGTCACCATGTGAACCAAGCTAGCTTTGAATTGAGAGATCTGCCTGCCTCTGCCTCCCAAGTGCCATGTTTAAAGGTGAGTGCCACCCCATCTGACCTGCAAATATTTTTAAACAGCTTTATTGAAATATGATTTACACGCCACAGAGTCCGCCCATTTAACATTTATCTGTTCAGCTGGGCATGGTGACTCACATCTGTAATCTCAACATTTGGGAGGCTGAGGCAGGAGGGTTGCTGCAAGTTTGAGGCCAGCTTGGGCTGCAGGACACCCTATCTCAAAATTATATATAAAATAAAATAAATGATTGGAAATGAAGTGTACCAGTTTAGTGTGTTTTAGTCAACATAGGGGGTGTCTAATCTCATTTTGTAACTTCCTTGTTCCCCCCATAGCTAGGTGTCCTGTGGTAGGCAGTTCCTTCTCCCGCCTCACCCCCAATTTCCCTCAATTTTTAAAATGTCCCACATGATGGAGCTGTGCCTGTTAGCAGCCCACCTACTTGGTGCTGAGGCAGGAGGGTTATGAGTTTATGGTCTGGGTAAGTTCCAGGCAACTTAGGAAGATGCTGTTGAAAA